TGGCCCTGAAGGACACATTGACTAGTGATTTGGGGTAAAATCAAACTTAATTTTGACCAAACACTAAGTTTTTAAATGCCTGTAATTTTTTCACATTTGAGAGTTGAACCATGATACTTGGTGAATCAATGTAACTTTGGATAAGCTTTAAAATGATATATGACACATACTATGACAACACTGGTATATGTCTGCCTAGGGGGGGCCCCATACTTTCGGGACACCCTGTATATATATATTTTTCAAATTATATTGTTACCATTCAAAAGATTACCATTAAATTTACAATGCGTAACATTTTCAGAATTTTTTGATGACTGCGGTTTAAGAGAAACGTGTGTTCAAAAAGTTCACCATATCGATACCCATCCTTTGGCCCAAAAAGGGCCAAAATCACTTGAAGTGCTCAGAATGTCTAAAAAAATCGTTCCTCTCTTGTGTTGAAAAAAATTTGGCCCAAATCTTGAGAAATTAGGCCATTTTTTGAAAATTTGGCCAAAAATTAAATAAAAAACAAGGCTTGTTAATTGAGGCCCTAGTGCACCCCCGCCACCTGGTCTAGCCTAGGTTGATTATAATCTTCAAACAGATTAAATCCCAAGCAAAGTTCATTGCTGCCATCTATATAAACCTTGTAAGCACCATAGTAAGAATGGTCGAAGTGAAGTTTTTGCATTGTTAATATCTCAGTCAAAATACTGTTAATAATTTGATCAAATCAGAGATTTGTTGATATTTTATATTATGGATTGCAGGCCCGTAGCCAGGGGGGTTCCCAGGGTTCTGGTCAAAAAATCTTTCAAAATCATGCAGTTTTTCACCAATTGGGCACTTCTCAAGTGATTTTAGCCATATTTGGGTCAAATGTGGATCCCCCAAGAAATTTTTGAAAACTGAACCCCCCCTTGGCAAATCCTGGCTACGGGCCTGGACTGAAAAGCTAGAACACTACATCCCCAAGGCATGTTAAAGTAAAGTACAGATTTTTGTAGTGTTGTGGGTAAAAATGTACTTTGGGGTATTTCTAGCAAATAACAATTCATCTAACATTTTCACTTCATTACAAAAATATAATTTACAAATATCATAGGTCTAGCAGTATCTACCCATCCTCTGAATGCAGTACTCCAGACATCATCCACTAGATTCCTTCCTTCCTCCAACTGGAGGCCTGAGTTCAGAGGACGGTATCTACAATGAATTTATTAAAAGATTTGCCAAAAATCAAGTAACAGCTGTATGTCAACAAGGGCATACATAATTTATTGGACAGGAATACAAACTCCAAGATTGATAAACTGATTAACTGATTATTTGATTAATAAGATGATGATAAACGTTACAACGGCTGGAATGTGATATTATGGTTTAATTACACATATACAAGTACAATCATCATTATAACTTAATCGTTCATCAAAAAACATACAGTGATTAAGGCAAGTGATTATACACCCTCACTATATTTGCAGGACTGAGGGAATATAAAAGAAATGACTAGACTATGAATCAAATGGCTTTAATGCCTTGGATACTAACCTACCTCCTACATGTAGTTGTACATAGCCATCAATGGTAAATGATGTATTTGCTCAATTTGAATTTGTTCTATACAATAATGTTCACAAGTCTAAGATCTGAAGATGTGGAATATCAATTGATATACATTTATATGTATATATGAGATCCTGAATGAAGCTTAGAGCACTATAATGTTTGCTCAATTAACCAATAATACAGGCAGGCAGATATATGGATGGAAATTTACGATATTTGAGGAAATCAAATTTTGGGTGAGAATACAAATACATTGGGAAACTGAAAATGTGACGAAAAAAAATGTAATTCACACAACCTATGTAGCTCAATTTAATAACAAGGCATTAACATGACAAAATGTCACCACCTAAAACAATTTGGTCAATTTAAAGCAAGTTGGAAAATACCTTTTGACCTTGAGAAGGTCATTGAAGGTCAAAAGTCAAATCTAAAGTCAGATTTGAACTTCTGAGAACTTGTAAAGTCAAATTTGAACTTCTGAAAAGATGTAGATGATTTTGAAAAAAAATTTGGTCAATTTGAAGCAAGTTGAAAACAGACCTTTTTGACCTTTTTTGAACTTGAGAAGGTCATTAAAGGTCAAATGTCAAATCTAAAGTCAGATTTGAATTTCTGAGAACATGTAGATGATTTTGAAAAAAAAAATTAGTCAATTTGAAGCAAGTTGAAAAAAGACCTTTTTGACCTTTTTTGACCTTGAGAAGCTCATTGAAGGTCAAATGTCAAATCTAAATTCATATTTGAATTTCTGAAAACATGTAGATGATTTTGAAAAAAAAATTTAGTCAATTTGAAGCAAGATGAAAAAATACCTTTTTGACCTTTTTTGACATTGAGAAGGTCATTGAAGGTCAAATGTCAAATCTAAAGTCAGATTTGAATTTCTGAGAACATGTAGATGATTTTGAAAAAAAAATTTAGTCAATTTGAAGCAAGTTGAAAAAAGACCTTTTTGACCTTTTTTGACTTTGAGAAGGTCATTGAAGGTCAAATGTCAAATCTAAAGTCAGATTTGAATTTCTGAGAACATGTAGATGATTTTGAAAAAAAATTTAGTCAATTTGAAGCAAGTTGAAAAAAGACCTTTTTGACCTTTTTTGACTTTGAGAAGGTCATTGAAGGTCAAATGTCAAATCTAAAGTCAGATTTGAATTTCTGAGAACATGTAGATGATTTTGAAAAAAAAATTTAGTCAATTTGAAGCAAGTTGAAAAAAGACCTTTTTGACCTTTTTTGACTTTGAGAAGGTCATTGAAGGTCAAATGTCAAATCTAAAGTCAGATTTGAATTTCTGAGAACATGTAGATGATTTTGAAGAAAAAATTTAGTCAATTTGAAGCAAGTTGAAAAAAGACCTTTTTGACCTTTTTTGACTTTGAGAAGGTCATTGAAGGTCAAATGTCAAATCTTAAGTCAAATCTTAAGTCAGATTTGAATTTCTGAGAACACGTAGATTATTTTGAAAAATTTTTTTAGTCAATTTGAAGAAGGGTTGAAAACAGACCTTTTTGACCTTTTTTGACCTTGAGAAGGTCATTGAAGGTCAAATGTCAAATCTTAAGTCAGATTTGAATTTCTGAGAACACGTAGATGATTTTGAAAAAAAATTTTAGTCAATTTGAAGCAAGTTGAAAACAGACCTTTTTGACCTTTTTTGACCTTGAGAAGGTCATTGAAGGTCAAATGTCAAATCTAAAGTCAGATTTGAAGGTCAAATGTCAAATCTAAAGTCATATCTAAAGTCAGATTTGAATTTCTGAGAACATGTAGATGATTTTGAAAAAAAATTTAGTCAATGTGAAGCAAGTTGAAAAAAGACCTTTTTGACCTTGAGAAGGTCATTGAAGGTCAAATGTCAAATCTAAAGTCAGATTTGAACTTCTGAGAACATGTAGATGATTTAGAAAAAAATTGAAGTCAGTCTAAACAGTATTTGTTAAGTTATAGGAAGTTGTAAGAAATTGTTACAGACGCCGGACGCCGGACGCCAACCTCCAACCACCAACCGCCGTCGCAAAAAAACGGAGACCATAACAATATGTCACCACTTTTGGTGGTGACATAAAAAACTATCTGAAGTGATAACGCATTTTTCGAATATGTTCAGACAACATAAGAAAATAAATGTCATGTGGAAATGTGTGTGTCAATAACATGTGATTGAGGTACATGTATAAGAGAAATATATCACTCTATTGTCTGTTCAGTATACTCAGAACCCTTAGCTCTCGGCACATATACTATATACCACTAGCCTCAGGATAAACCCAATATCGAAATCCTCATATAGTATAATCTCTGTAAACACCACATAATAGTCCTACTGCATTAAATGTTTGCAAATATGGGAGATCACCTTCGGGTTTTTCATTCTTCAATTTTCGAAATCGTTGTTCCCTCTTCAAAAGAGGAGACGCGAAAATCTTTCCTTATAAGGTCAAAATATTTCCCATGATGCAGTTCGCGGAGGAACAAATTTATACTTCCTTGTTTTCCCTCATAGGTTTAACATGGGGATTTTCATACCTATTTTTCAAACGATATATTCGTTCATATTCCCGTACGAGAGTACAGAAAAAATTATCAGAAACGATTGATCTCTTATTAATCTTAATATAACAGCTATTTTTTCATTGTATTGATTCATAGCGTGGTGAAAACGACGATTGAAAAGTGAGAAAATATTCCGGAAGAGAAGGTCACGTGATCAGTTGACTAGTCGCCATATTGGAAAAAACAATTCCATTCGACTTTCAATACTTTCATGGCAATCTTACCGCACTACAAACTGCATCATCGATGCAACAACTGAATAAAAGTATTCATCTTCAAATTATATTATAGAGTTACGTTGAAAACCCACAAACAACTGAGCAGTAGACCAAAGAAGACGCATCGCTATTATCTAGGTCAATCTGTTCAGTGGTCCGAAAGCAAATCTATAGTACTCGTTTCCGAATTTTGTTGTTCATTGTACAATCTTTTATTGATCAAACTCGGTATACTGACTATTAAAGCAATGACAAAGAAGAATATTTCCGATGGTGTCATTGTTTTATTTAGCGTGCGGGTGTAAAAACAAAATTGCGTAATTAGTTTGATTTAGAACTTTCGGGTCACGCAAATAGCTACGCGAAATGCATAGTGGGAAAATATTGACCAATCAAATTTTGTCCTTTTTGAGTGCTTTTTCAGAACATATTTGCGAACGTTCTGATTCAAAGAGCGAACCGCGAAAGCGAGAATTATTTACGATTTGATGAATCTCATGATACTGACCAGCGATTCACATTATATACAGTAAAACATGCATATCCAAGCACCTGGCTTATCCGAAACACCTCCTAAACCATATGCTCTAAGTCAGTCTCTATGATGGTCAAATAGATAGGTTTTACTGTAGATTTACTTAATCACCAGGATTCCGACTCTGTATGTGTTTAGTCTTGTGTAAATATTCTTGATGCAATGTCATCTATGATCCAGTCTACACCCTGAAGTAAATTCTCTCCTGTTACTGCACTGCAGCCGAGGATCAACCAATGGTGAGATTTTATATTGTCCAGATTCAATGCCTGGAAATAAAAGATCACCAGTGTGATAACCACAAAAATCAAGTATTTGAGAATTTTAGTGGCTTTTGTTGATTTCATGATGCACCATTCTGGTGAACCAGAGCCCTTCTTATCTGCCGTTTGCGAGACTTTTGAAGTATAAAAACAAAGGGGGCGCAGCTATTGCGATGATTTTGCACAACCATAATTTGAATATTTTAATCAAGTTTGCTGAATATATGATGCACAAGTATAATTTTGACATTTCCAGCATTGGACTTATAAATTAGAATAAAGCCATGATTTGATGTGATTTCACACGGACATTGAGGAGAAATATCAGAAATGATTTACAAAAATGTGATATTATTCAGATAGCTGAATGAAACTTCACTAGGCCTAAATGTCAACAAATTATTTTAAAAGCACAACATCTTACGATCATGCAAAATTATTTCGAATTCACATGGTAGATTCTTACCTCTCTTATTTCTGTTGCTGAGAGAGCTCCTGGTAAATCTTGCTTGTTGGCAAACACTAGTAACGTAGCCCCTGCTAATCTCTGCAAGAAATGGACAACAAAATATGTCTAGAATGTACATTATCATTGGATGATGTACAGTACTTATCTATAATGTACCTCTCATTCACATCCTAACTGCATAAACTTAAAAGTCAAGTTCATGGTTTACATGTGTTCGTTTTATGAATATAATTGTTGCTCGTTGAATTTTCTCAATTAACTACATGTAAATGAGAAGAAAACAAAGTGATTGAAATGATTTAAAATGAGAATTTAAAAAAAATATTCAACACTGATCAATCTGTTTGTAGAGACCTAACACAATAGCAAAATAGATTATAGAAATTCATGAAGAGTTAGCCAAGCTTTTTGTGTGTAAATTGTATTTGGAACACTTACTTCTTCCAGTAGTAAAGCATCTAGTTCCTGTCGCGTGTCCTGTAATCTGCGTCTATCTGCACTGTCAACCACCCAGATTAGACCATCTGTGCTCTCAAAGTAATTGCGCCAATATGATCTTAATGATTTCTGACCTCCAACATCCCATACGTTCAGTTTAAACCTGAGATAAATACATGTAATAATGAAAAATAGGTATCATGATTCTTGTAATGGTGCCAATATATCAATATCAGGTTACATTCCAGGCCTTTATATTATGTGTATAATTTGTTTCTTCAATGAGGAAACTGATAAGTTCAATACTATCCCTCTGTGTCACATTGCCAATGTCATCACACATAAAATGCCATGTTTGGAAGTTTGAATATTGTAGAGATTTGATTATTATGTGTATTGTTATCCTCATAACTTACCCCCTATGTTCAAGTGTCTTTATATTGAAGCCTAGTGTTGGAGAGATGGTGTCAATATCTTCTCCATTAAACTTCTTTAGAATTGTGGTTTTGCCTGCATTATCCAGGCCTCTAAGAAAGTGTTAAGGAAAATCAACAATCATATACATGTATGTTCCATACTTTAACCAGAACAACGGCAACGCCAAAGCGTAGCGAATCCCATCGAACAGAAATAGCTGGCATTTTTACAAACGAAATATATAGCAAATATCATAAATTAACACACATAAGAAAGTTGTCATCAGAAGAAGTAATATGCTTTATTATAGTATTCACATGCCAAATATGAACAAAATCGCTCCACTACTTTTCGAGTTATAGTAAAATACTTTAAAATGGTGGCCATTTTTTAAAATGGCCGCCTTCTACCAAAAGTGTCATAAGACAGTGTGCCATGCTAATAGTATTCGAATACCAAATATGAACAAAAAAATCGCTCCACTACTTTTCAAGTTACAGCAAAAATCATAAAATAATGAGTAAAGGCCGAGTAAAATATGTTTAAATGGCGGCCATTTTTTAATTTTTGCAGCCAATGTTGACGGAAGGACAAACATTGAGGTCAACATTTTTGTTTGTCAATTTTTCCCAATCAGAGATGTATGTTGTCTCAATACAGGTTGTTTACATTATAAGTGTAGGTCATATTTGAACCCCTGTACATCAAATTTACTAATGCGCTCTCTCCAACAACATGCAAAATATAAGTGAAAAGTACCAGTAATAATCGATTAATAAACAAAAGTGGTAAACAGTATCAAGTAGACTATATCCTATATAGTCTGAAAATCTGGGATTGCAAAATATTTGATTACATAGGTAGAGTCCATTTCACTGCTTCATTGCGTCAGTAGAACGGCAAAAATAAGAAATTGGGAGACCATTGTGCAATAATATATGGAAAAGTATATTCATAATATACATGAATGACATTTGTATATTTCAGATTTTTTAGTTTTTTGTGCAATAAGCCTGTGCCGTCTTGTAATTTGAAGAATTTCAGCCATGTTAATCTTATTGAAAATAACATGGCAGAGAAGCATCCAGATATAAGAGGCCACACACTTTATATGCCAAACTAGAAGCAATCCAAGATATACAAATGTCATTCATGTACAATAGGAATATATTTTTCCATATATTATTGCAAAATGATATTTTGATTTCTTATTTTTTAGCTTTTACTGACGCAGTTAAACAGTGAAATGGACTCTAGTGCCAGTCAATATTGCCGATTGGGTAAATTAATTTGCATATTTGTTACTTCCCCTATCTTTGTTTCCACTTAACAATATGCTATGTTACGTACTTCTTATAGCATAATTGTACCTTACTACATAATTGAATTAATATGATGTTAATTTATGGGAAGTGAAGCTTCCTGAAATTGATAAGTTTGTGACTAAAATTTCCTGTTTTTCCCAGAGGAGGGACATGATGATCAATAGACTGAATTCTTAAGATTCAGTCAATAGACTGAATTCTTAAGATTCAGTCTATTGGACAACAGTATCAGGTATCGAAAGGCAGGATTACAGTGCCAATGGCTTCAGACACAGAAACCTAAAGGAATAAGAAGAAAATTAATTAGTTTAGCCTAGGTAAACAAAACAAGATCTTAATCTTTAGACAATCATGAATCATTTTCATGACATCAGTGACTGATTCACCGACTCAATATTGTATAAATGATCTAAATTCTAATCACTGAGTCAGTACGTCTATTTCCAAACACCCCCATCAAAAAATGTAGTTAGCTTTGCTGTACTGCACATCTATGCTATGATTCTATATATATTATGTGTATTATCCACTGTAGAATGCATTTGCAGAAAAAAATACGAAAAATTGTAAAAAATATCTGGGTTATTCCATTTTTACTACAAGGTATTTTAGGGGGGTAATTCCGAACAGGAGTTTTTTTGGGGGGTAAATCCGAACACTTGCATGGGGGTAATTCCAAACACTTAACTTAAACTTAATTGTTTTAATTATTAGATTGATGGTATATCATTATATGATACCCTTAACTTATGATACTGGATCCTGTCACCCCTGCATATCAAGAAACCCAAATTTAAATCATTTATTACTGACATCTATTTATTTAAACGCACAGAGTTTGTGGGGGTAATTCCAAACACTAGCATGGGGGTAATTCCGAACACCTAAATCATCATAATTGATTATTTTATTGTAAGATTGTTGGTATACATCATTATATTGTATCTTTCAGGCTATAAATATTATGTAGAGGTAGTAGAGGTACTATTATTCAATTCAATGATCTGCTTGCCATTATTTGGAACCCGTTCGTGTTTACCCCCCTGTTTGGATTTGGACGTATTGACTCTAATTATTTTGAAAATTATTTATTTTAGGATCGAAATAATCATTATCCATAAAGGTATACGCTTTGATTATGAAAAAGATACAGCATCAATAATCGCACTTCCTTCTCCTTTTGTTTCATCTTCTTCAAAATCGTCAGTAGACCCATATTTACCTCTAAATACCATATAAAAATTCAAGAAAAATTCAAAGTTGACAAGTATCGAAAATGAGTACGCTTGTGGTTGCGACATGTAGACATTTGTTAGTTTAAAAAAATCATATTATAAAATTCAAAATCAGTGCTTTATATTGTGTCGAATTTATCCAATAAAAATATAAATTGATTATGCATTTTTGTCAAAAAGATACTTCAAAATCTCTTATTCACCTTTGGTAGTCGTAAAAAAAGTTTTTTGAAAATTCAAGAAAAAATCTCTGATGTTAGTTTCAAGCTGATTACAGGTAGATTATATATCTCTTCGAATATCTTTTTATAGATCTAGTTCGTTACTGGATATTCTACGCCCGTTAACATGTATTAAAATCGAGTCTGAGGCATGAGAATATTATGAAGAAACAAATTCAAAATTTATTGAAATTTTATTTCAATTTACTATTTTTTTCATGGCCTGAGTTCGTCGCTAACATGCTAAATATAAGAGTTAGCTGACGTTTGGGAGTCTGACTTACCTTCTAAAGGTTAGAACCCGAATCTTTATGAAACCATATCACCTTTGTTCCGTCAACCATGGAGCATTTGCCACAACATCCAAGAGGTAAATCATTGACCGTGAAAATGAATGATTTCCTTGTAAGTTCCGGAAGTTTCAATACGAAAAATTACCGAACATATGTGAAAACCGAATATTTGTTCGTTGTTTTTCATGATTTACAGGTTCGTTTGTTCTCCAATGTTTTGGTCTAAATTATAAAGCATCACCAACAGGTCTTACTCTTTTAATCGACTAATACAGCAGACGGCTCATATTTCTACGTAGCATTTCGTTCAGACCAATAGTGGGAGTGCAGATCACGCAGTTTCGTTCGTTGCGTACTTCACTTGAAATTGGTAATTTTAAATATTGGCTACTTCACTTAGCTTGGCGGATGTAGAACATTGCTTATATTCTTTTAATTTTCACCCCAGACATGCTTGGTTGACACGTCAACAAAGTAAAGTTCAAGGGTCAATGCGTTATTTCGTGATAACTACAATGCCTTCCCGGAAGTCAACATTGATGAAAAATGAAAAAGTCGGAAAAGCATTTACACTAATTTCTATCAAATGCTGTGTTTATGCATCATCATCGACGCAACAAAGGTGATATGGTTTCATTAAGATTCGGGTTCTAACCTTTAGAAGGTAAGTCAGACTCCAAAACGTCAGCTAACTCTTATATTTAGCATGTTAGCGACGAACTCAGGCCATGAAAAAAATAGTAGGGCATTTAGTCTACCCGGTGTGAAAGAAATTATGGTCCCCCGGGGATTATGGTCCCCTTTCTAAACGGCCCTTACTGGCCCTGATAGCGTATAAGATAATGAGGGAAAGAGTTGTATTTAGGTCACCATATAAATCAATGGAGAGTAGGACCATAATTTGATGGGACCTCCTACCCTTTTACACCGGTCTAGCCTACATGTATCTTTAGCTTCTCATCAGATCATGGACTTCCAAGAGTCTTTCAAGGTTTTATACAGGTATTTATATCGGGTTTGTTAAAAGGCAGGACATGATATCTTACTGAGGGACCAAGGGAAGATAACATATAAAGTAAACCCAATAGATAACAGGGAGGCAATGTTGTCAATGTAGGTTATTGTCGGACACTCAATGCAGGCCTTCCTTTATCTGACAATTACCTACATGAATGACATTTTTTCTCTGTCTACAATACAATCCCGACCAGGGATGGCTTTATTAATGCCATGAAAATTCATAATCAAGGATGAAATTATAACACTATAACACCAGGGGCATATCTGGGAACCAATAGGGGGGGGGGGGGGGGCAAAAATTTGGGCCCATAAACTCAAAACTTTTGAAAATTTAAACCCATTTTTATTATGCTTTAAAAACCCTTGTTGATAGGATTCCTGTTTTAAGTCATTTTTGTTCAACATCAATACAGAAAACTCCCCTATGACTCCTGGTTGAAATTGAAAAGCTCACCTATTTTCAAAATGGTCAATTCATTACCTCCAGGAAAAGCACTCATAGAGATTATAAAATAATTTCGACTTTGAGACAGGGAAGATGCAAACAACCCACCCACATGTTTTTCAACCCCTTCCACCCCTGCTTTTTAATTTTTGTTGCATCAATATGTTGCGTTTTGACACACAGTTAAGGTCAGGGTGCATGATGGGAAATTTTCTGCATTCCTCAATTGAGTCACATATTATTTTTCAAACAAGAATCACTCCTTCCCTTCATTGTCTGTATCTTCCAGTTTTGCACAAAGAGTGCACTTATGTGCCTAGAAAAGACTTGTGAGAAGAATGTTTTGATAAATTGTATAAAAAACAAGAAAATTCAGTGAAAAAAATCAGAAAATTTTCAGAAATTTTTTTCACTGAATTTTCTCATTTTTTATACATTTTACAAAACAAACCTTCTCACAAGGCTTTTCTAGGCACAGAAGTGTACTCTTTGTGCAAACTTGGAAGATGTAGACAATGTGGGGAAGGAGTTATTCATGTTTGAAAAATAACATGTGACTCAATTGAGGAATGCAGAAAATTTCCCAACATGCACCCTGTCCTTAACCCCTTTAGAGGAATATGTGATTCCTTCTGGGGTTTTAAAGGTATCTATTATGGGTGACCAAAATTAGCTGAAAGCATGGGAAAGCTATGGGAAAATAACATGGGAAATATTGTTTCCACTTTATCCAAAAGGTTATTGTGATGTACATGGGAGGATCATGTCCATGTTGGTCTCTGATAAATGAGTGCCTATTTATGAATCTGATATACGACCAGAGCTTTAAACAGAAACTTTTTATTTATATTGGCTGTTATATTCATGTAGTCTCTTTGTTACTTTTAGTGACGAATGAACCATGCCAAACATGAAATGGCAATGTATTGTGTGCAACAGTAAGCGGACAACAGGAGTGGATGACGATGTGACTTATTTTAAGTTTCCAAATGATCCAATTATGAAAAGAAAATGGATGAAAGTACTGAATGCCAGTCATCATAGATATCAAGTGGTGTGTTCCAGTCATTTCAACAAAGATGACTTCTGTTTATCAAGTGTGTTACAAAGGACTTTTGCTCAAGAGCAAGGCTTACCCCTAACAAAATTACGCCTAAATACAGATGCAGTTCCTACTCTAAAGGTGGAGAGGAAGCCGAGTACCTGGCAACGCAAACAGGTCAGTTTTTTAGTCTTCCATCTATCAACATTAAAACATTGGTTAATGAAAACACAGAATGAAATCCTGCGCTAAGGGCTGATGTGAAATTGTTAGTTCACTACTGTGCAATGAAGCAAACATTCTTTAGGGCCTAACTTTTGTATTTCTTATCTGCTTATAGATTGTGTATTAATGTGTTGTAAAGTTGAACACCTGGGCTTGTAATTCTGAGAATTACCCATTCTTATTACCATATCATGCCTCAAAATTAACATGGCAGAAAAGCATCTCAACCTACTAGATTGAAGTCACACATTTGTAAAGAAATCCACAAACTATCCAAAGTACATATAATGACATCTTACACAATAACAAACAAGCTGGAATATTAACAGTTGCTCTGTGGTTCATTGTTTGTTTTAGCCAAAACATATGCACCTTTAACTCTGACTGTACTTGTATTTATAGGAGGTAGATGATATAATTAGAACATATGAAAAAGAATCTGCTGAAAAGGAGAGCCAACTGTCTGCTATGACTGTTAATAAGTTTAGACCAATAGTTGATACTACAGCTTGGTCTAGCCCTACAGCTGATGCACTAACTAGGCCTAGCCCTGCATCTGATCCCATAGTTAAGATTAGCCCTGCATCTGATCCCATAGCTAAGATTAGCCCTGCATCTGATCCCATAGCTTGGATTAACCAGGAAGCTGATATTACTGCAGTTGATACTACAGCTACAACAGCTACATATAGTCATGATGCTGATACTACAGCTACAGCTAGCCATGAAGCTGATATAACTAGAGCTAGCCCAAGCCTTGAAGTTGATGCCACAGCAATGCCTAGTCATGAAGCTGATATTACAGCTAGCCTTGCAGTTGATGCCACATCTATGCCTAGTCATGAAGCTGATATTAAAGCTAGCCTTACAGTTGATGCCACAGCTATGCCTAGTCATGAAGCTGATATTACAGCTAGCCTTGCAGTTGATACTACAGCTAGGACTAGCCCTGTACCTGATGCCACAACTATGCCTACACTTACTTGTGATCAAAGGTATATTCAATTTTTTTTTAGAATTTCAAGCGTTTTTTCTAATATTTGATACCCTGCATGTAGTCTATATAATACACTACCATCTGTCTTGTATATACTATATTTAAGGAATAAAGACCAAGATTCTATGATTTATGGCGCAATATATGACCGAAAATTTTATTCTGTTCATTGTTAAAAGACTGAAATCGCGTAGCGATTGAGGTCTTTGGCAATGGGCAGAATAAAATTTGAGGTCATATATTTGCCATAAATCATAGAATCGAGGTCTTTGTTACGATTCTAACATGATAAAACCTAAGTTTCTTTTCCGATTTGATTATTTTCAATCTGAAAAATTCTAATGTTTTGGACATTCTATTTACCGGATTTCCTCTTAGGTAAATAGTTTGCAAAAATATCAATAATGAAACTGACGTCAGATTTATATTGTATCTGTCATGTCTATATTGTGACTAAATTGGTGGTTCAGAGGGGGTGAGTATGCAATTGTAATAGCCATTACATTTTTTGGTCTATTGTGACATCACATATCATGTTAGAATACAGTTTAGAAGCCCCGCCCCCATGAGCAATGCCCTTGACAGTCTGGGTCATAAATCATTTCAAACCTACCATGCTGATCTTTTCTCAACCAATCAGCAAGCTGGAAGAAACACATGCTAAATACATGCTCATTAACTATGGGATGAAGTCAGTGGAAATAATCATTATATAAAAAGTTGTTCGAATTTCGATGACACTCTGAATGGCTCAGTGGGTTCAGATAAGAGATTTATTGTAAACTGAAAGAGTGTTCTAGACAAAGCTCTCTTTTTAAAAGCAAAGTCGAAAAGATCACAAAGGGTAGATGTCTTAAACCTTTATATCATCCAATAAAGATAAGATAATTCTGGATACATGCATTCACTTTATTTCTAATATGGCGGCCTTGTATAAGGTCAGAGTTCAGTATGGCTTGCCAATCCATCCGATTTACAAACAATAACATGATTACATGACAGATGATATTTGGAGAAACTTTTAAACTTAACAAATAATTTCATTCCATGTTGTTTCAGGACTATCACCAATAATGAAAGATGGGAAAGGATTGTACTTTGTAACTCATTCAGAATGATGAAACATGTAGCAGCCTTGAGGCATGATACTTCTATATCTGATATGGCCTTTAGATTGGAGGATGGTACAACAATAAGTACACATAAGTTCATAGCTGTCGCATATAGTAGTGTCATCAAGAACACTATCAAAGTCAGTGGGAAAAAAGGCTACAATTACTTCACATTTGCCCTGGATGGAAGTTCCACCATAGAAGGAGTTAATGGGTTTTTAGATTTCATTTATGGATGCAAGCTTCATGTGACCAATGAAAACTATGACCAGATTCTCCACATAGCTGAGTTATTTGATGTGAAAGACCTAAAAGAAACCCTCAATTCAATTATTCGGGATAATGTAAAGAGTCAAAATGGTGGTGTAATTCCACCTAAGTATATCAAGCAAGAAAATCATGATGAACATGGGTTATTTGGAGAGGGTACTAACAACCAAGGTATGGGCAACAATGATATGCACCAAGCTATAGACCACAAAGACATTAAACAAGAAATAGATGAGAATTTCATCTCAACTACAGAAGAACATCCCTGGGATGAATACCTCAACAGACAGCATCAGACAAATGATTATCATGCACAAGAAGAGACAAAATACAAACCCCATTATGAATATTTAACTTCTGAAAACATTAACAATGATGAAGCAGAGATCCATAAACCATCAATTGCTTCAAATGCCACAAATTTGATAGCAACTGTGAGGGACCATACATATATGTCCAAACCTAAACCCAAAACTATGATATCTCTTCTGAAAGACCCTCTCATATACAAGTCTGACTCAAAAGATAAATATAAAACTATGAATTCTCTTTTGAAAGAGCCCCCTATAAACACATCAGACTCAAAGGAGTGTTCTGTAGCAACCCCCCATCAGAAGTCCTTTATTCCATGTCATCTCCAGACATGGGATGGTGATGATAATGTTAGCATAGATGGTGATAAGCTCAACCCAGAGGTTGGTGGCCAAGTAAAAGAGGAACCTATTGAAGAAAATGACTGCACTTCTTTAGAAGACACTCTGTCAGAGGAGGAAGGTATTGATTTGCTTATGGTTTGGTCAAATAATGATGGGTCATTCTTTATAAAAGTAATATTTATTTTAAAGATGGGATGGAGTTTTAAGCTCACTTTTCAAGCTAAAAACAGTTTGAAGGGGGGGGGGGGGGGCAGAGTTAACAGGGATGTGTTGGGTTGTGATAATCATTCAATAACAGATTTTTCCCAGGAGGTTCAGTTTATTTTAATTCGGGGGTTCAAATTTGACAATTTTTGGCCAAAATCATTAAAATGGTGAAAAACTGCATGATTTTCACAGCATTTCTGACCCCCTGGCTACAGGCCTTAATACTTCTCAGGAACATTTATATTTTTGTCTTATCTTTACATGACCGTTTTTACATTTTATTGTTGACTCCTTTAGGGATGGTGTCAAATTATCAACAGGTGTGGATTAACGAAGTTAATTTTGTTATGGTTTGACCCCCCCCCTTCCCCATATCTAATGAAATTTTAAAATGTTGATTTATCTTTCACTTCAATATTAAAAAATCAACACTATTTGCTAACGAAACCATCAATTACGCCCTGCCCCCCTAACGAAACTAACTTCGTTATTCCATAACTGTTGATAATTGGACATGATCTTTTAATTGATCAATTTTTCTAGATGATTTTGATTATGAAAGTCCCAGTGAAGAAAGTGAAGAAGATTTAGAGAAAAGAGAGAAAGAAGAGAAAGAAGACCCTGATTGGAAGTTTGATTCAGATGAGGACAAGGTGGAAGATGAATGTGAAGATAATGATGATAATGAATTCTTTGATGAAGAAGCAGATGACAGAGGAAATAAAGGAGCTCTTTTCAGAGAAAAGTATCAATGTACGTAGGTTTTATTGTTGTTATTTATTTTTCTATCACATTATTTTATTTCGATCTATCTACAGTGTCAATTTGATTGATGTATTCAATAACAATATTAATGTATTCATGAATTTTTCCAATTGAAGTTTCCAAACTATAATAATTGACATCTCTAGGCATGACTGATATGTACAAAAATGTTATTTTTTACTTTTATTCATGAATAACAATTTAAGTTTATCAACAATTGGCATACTTGATGTCTTTGTTTATCCAGAAACAACATAATTTAAATTACTGTGGAACTCTTCAAACTGTAAAAAGGAAAACAATACCCTGTGAGTCTGTGATATTGTGTTAGGGAAATGGATCTGTAATGACCCTTGGGCACGCTCGTCGGGGAGCTGTAGTGTACGGAGCCAGATACTAAACTCGAAAGAGAATGTGCTAAATTCAATGCCCCGTACGGGAATCGAACCCAGGACCTTCCACTCTCAGAGTCAGACGATCTACCCCTTAACCATAAAGGCTAGCCACTACAGCTGAGACTGTTGCTAGTTTGAAGAGTTCCACCACAGTGAAAATATCACATTCTACTTTTTGTTATAGATGATATGGTAGTAGGTGACTTCAGGTGTGGCTTATGTCAGGAAGTACTTGATACTAAGAGAGACCGTAGAGAGCATGCTGAGACTGAACATGGCAAATACCTGTGTCCACTATGTGATCACTACTCTAACACCTTGGAGGAGTGCAACCAACATAAGCAGTCTCATTATGGTATGGTATAGCGAAGTAGTTGAATAAATAGTAAAAAAATTAGATAGTTTTTCTGTCGTCACCAGAAGTGATGTCATATTGTTATAGTCTCCAATTTTTTGAGGATGGTCTTTGGCGATTGGTGTTCAGTGTCTGTAACAAATGGCAGATGGTGACATTTTGCATTTTAATGCCACTTTTCTGATTATATATATTTTATACCAAAATTATTTGTTGTTTTGAGGTAGCTGTATTCATGTTGATATTGTAATTTTCAATTATTTAACCTGTTGTTTTCATTGTTTAAATCCCAATCGAATCCCTGATGTGAAATAAACACAGGTAAAATAACTTAATGCAGAACTATTAGTGAGAGGCTAGTACTATATATGTGGCTAACTTTGCATTGATGACAGAAAACAATAGCCTACATGTATTTATTAAATTTTAATCAAAGTTTTTATTTCTCATTCCAGTATTTACCAAAACTGATGGGGATGAAGGTATTTTCTTCTGTCCAGTGTGTGACTTGAAATTCACATCAAAACATGTGTATCTAGCACATGTGACCACTACACATATTGTTAAAAATAAATCAAAGCTAGTGCCACATGCACATTGTGTTGTATGCGACACTTGGATACCTACTAAGATTTTCCGAAATCATATGGTAGATGAACATGAAATAAAGAAATGTAAAATATGTGACGAGGAACTTGATGGCATTTCAGGAAATGCAATAGAAAACCATTTGTTTGAACAGCATGATGTTCAGGGCTATGAATGTGAAATTTGTAACTTCACAACTCATTCCTTTCAAGGTTTAAAAAGACATTTGGTACACAAACACAGTATAGATGGAAAGCCAAAATATTTTTGTGAAAAGTGTAATAAGTCAGTTTCCAACATCTTTCAACATACGTTAGTTAACCATTCTTTAGAGGTGTTCAGCTGTGAAATCTGCAACAAAAAGTTTAAATCTCAGGAAAAATTAGACAAGCATAAGAAAGCGTGTAAGCGTGGGGAAAAAAGCTCGTGTGAAGTTTGTGGGAAACAATTTACTCGCTCTGATAACCTTGTGACTCATATGCGGATCCACACTGGTGAGAAACCATACTGTTGTGAGATATGCAGTGAGAGATTTGCGCAGAAACATTCTTTTGACTGGCATATGGAATCCAAACACTCAATGATGAAATACAATTTCAAAGAAAAGGAAGCAATGAGAAACCGAAATAAGAAAAGCAAAAGAAAAAGCTCAATTTGTCTGGAGAGTGAAACTGGAAGTAAAAGAAAGTCAAAAAAGAAAAACTCTGGTCACTGAGCAATTATTCACTCGACTTCAGCAAAATTTTGACTGCATCTTGAAAAAACTTTTATCATTTTAGAAATACAACTTTGATCTAGCTATTCAGTTACAATATTAAATATCAACTACCAATCCTGATAAATTATCAGATTACAAACACATTTTCTGCCTGCCAAATATAAGATAGGTCTGTACAGGGCCGAGATTTATTTTACTCTCTATATTAAACAACTCTTAAGAAAAGTTATTTTAAGGTCATGAAAAAAGGTTATTTAATGGGAGAGTGATGGAATATGAATTGAATTATTTCAAACAGAAATAATTAATCTTACTAAAATGAGAGAAATCCCGGGAATAGTTCTGATACAGGATTTTGGCTGATACCAGATCCAATACAGGATCTGATACGCGATTTTGGCTGATACAGGATTTTTTGAATATCAATTCTATTCCCTGTTTATTTCCCATGGAAAATATGCTATTATAGAATAGATAAAGGTTATTTAATGAAAGGGATGGAATATGAATTTTATTCTGAGGGAAAATATGACAATGGCCAGTGAAACTATGATATTGACTGAGGGCGATAATAATAACATGTTTTCCTTGGGAAATAGAATTGATATTAAAAAAATCCTGTATCAGATCCCATACCATACAAAAGATCCCATAATGGAACCTGTATCAACCAAAATCCCATATCAGAACTATTCCTGGGAATTTCTCACTGTTTTTGTTTCTTGTTCAATTTTTCTATTTTAACTCATTGCTGTCCAATAATTGTCACATGATTTGCACCAATAATCTTACCAAGTATTGTAGGGGCTGCTAGGGGACCATGGTTGGGTGTAATTGAAATATATTGTCATTGACTTCACAATTGCATAAAACATAGCATAGAGGGTGCTGATATAGTCCATATTATGGTGATAAGAAAACATACAATTTGGCTTAATTTTTCATCAAAATGGCTGGTCACCAGCTGAAAATCTCCAAAATAGCTTTGGCCAGCAATGAGTTAAATCTTGTTAATAAAGGTTGAAAATGTTATAAGATCATTTAAATGATGTCATAGTTAGACAACAATGGACTTGAATTTTTAACTTCACCAAGTTTCTCTTTTACTTTAATGATAAAAATAAAATGAATCTCAAATTGATAATAATATGTTTTATTATTTTTAAGGATTATCTTTGAATGAATACAAACTTGTTAAATAATTTGAAGACAAAATAAAGTCAATATGACAATGAGATGTTTTTATACAATGTTTTTTATTATATTCTTTATAGTAAGCATTTTAACAATGCCAAGGCACTATATATATCTATACATATCACAAGACAGCTTTATTAAAGCATGTGTCAGCTTCAGATGTCTGGTTCATTCCCTTTCCTCAATAACCCATGTGTATGTGTATTTTAACTTAACCTCTCGACTACCTGGAGTGACCCTCAGAAATGACCTTGAATAACCGCTAATGTCCCTCTAAGTTACTTCATTGGAAAATAGTGTCATCAATAACTAAGGACTGCCAAAGAACAAAAAATAGTCTGAATTATCCATTTTTCTATGCATGGTCTAGATTTTATCTCTAGTTTTGTGATTTAAAAACATAAAAATACTAATTCAAGCCATGTTGAGACTGAATGAGGTAAAAAACAGATCAGTTCAGAATTCCAAGAGAATTCCAAAATCCACTTGTGTGTCAGCCCTTAAAACATGAATGTACCATCAAAATAGGTGTCTTAGATGTCCATTTCTTTAAATAAAAAACCTTGTAACTCGAACTATTTTTTTATAGTAAGGTTGAGCATCAAATGGTTAATTCATATTTTTTTGCCATCAAATTTATTTATGAGGGAATATTTTTTCATATCAAGTTTCCAATATAGAATCAGCTTCTATGCAATTATGATTTGAACAACTTGTAAATTAGATTTTGTCACCAATCATGTCAAGGTTAAATTATGAAACATCACATCAAATTATCAATGTACACCCAACCACACTGGCATGTAGCGGCCCTGATATCGATAAATTCTACACGCAATATAACCCGATTCTACATGCTTGGTTAAAACTTTACACGAAAAAGCTTCGATATCCAGGCATTTACTCTTACACTGAACTGAAAATAGCATCGTCTAAACGTGTATGTGTTGGCTTCCGGGTAAGTTTATCAACATTTATACTCAATTGAAAGAGCAGTCGTGCTTATATCGTGTACCAATTTGGTTTATTTATATGTGTGTGTATTTATAACATGATAGCCTAGTAATACCGTGTCGTTAGAACAACTGCTAGATATCGAACTGATGACCTGAAATTACATTGTTGGACTGATCGCGCATCTGATATTAAATGATTAATTTGAATTGAATCTGATATTAACTTGCAACCCAATACCATGACTTTACATTTGAATGATAACATGGCCTCATATTCTAATCCATTATACGTCCACTGCAGGCCAAAAATGTTTCAATGTGGATATTGTAATGCACACGAGAATACATTCGATTCGTATATTGATCATACATCAATTGAACATGGAGATTTTCCTGTACACTTTTCCCAAACCTGTGGAATAGACAAGATGCGAGTAGAAATTATCTTGATTAACGTCATCAAATATTCAAAATTCATTAAATTCGAAACCATCGAATATCACTTTTCAAACCATCGAAAATCACTTTTTAGGACGTGATATTCGATAGTTTAAAAGTGATATTCGATGGTTTGTAAATTGTTTGCTAAAATATGATATCTTGGTCCACATATCAAATATATCATCATGTGATATTCGATCTATATCATTGCAACCATGGGATATGGAGGATATCCTATGATGTATGAGAGATATGATTTTTATCCACGAATGAATATGATATCTGCACGAGCGAGCGTATATATAAGGGTTATGCACTGGGATGTTTTGGATACAGGGAATATCCGAGGTATATACAATATATCTTCCAGAGGGACCGAAGGGACCAAGGGAAGATGCATTGTATATCAAATTTTTATTTTCAGATTTTTTTCAAAAATGAAAAAAAAATCCAAAATTCTTTTTCAATTTTTTTTCCAAAATTGTTTTTCAAATTTTTTTCCCAAATTTTTTTCCAACATTTTTTTTCAAATTTTTTTTCACCTTTTTTGGCATAATTATTTTTCAGAATATTTTCAAAATTTTTTTTTCAAATTTTTTTACATATTTTTTTTCCTCAATTTTTTTCAAATTTTTTTTTCAAATTTTTTTCCCGAATTTATTTTTAACATTTTTTTTGAGTGGGACATACGATTTATATGTCCCGGAGATCCGTCGGAGCGCAACATACGAAAAATATTTGCCAGATATGGAATATATTCCCGGTTGATATGCCCCTGAAACCTCATCAGGTATGGAATACATAAGGGTCATGTACAGGGAGGTTTTGGATATGGGGCTTATCCAGAGGGAGGTATGCATATTTACCTGAGGGACCGTAGGGACCAAAGGTAGGTGCATATCTCACGAGGGATGAACCCCATATCTAAACCGACCGTACATAACTGCTTTATCCTATACCAAGTAGAGTTTTCAAGGGCATATGGCCATTTCAATAGTACAAGGTGTAAAATAAACAAATCATTCACATGCAAAGTCATTTTATTGCATTACCAGAAGCGGGAAGATATGCACCGGAAGCGGGAAGATATGCACCGAAGCGGGAGATATGGCGGGAGATATGAAGGTTCTGGATACGGAAACCTCAAAATCAGGATACGGGATATATCTTACCAACTTATCTCCCTAAAACTCTACTTGGCATATGAAAAATATAGGTTATTTACTGGGAGGGAGTGAATATGGGTTTTATTCCGATGGACAATATGATATTGACTGAAGGGTAATATAATATTGACCGAGAGTGCAGCGACCGAGTGTCAATATCATGTTGCCCAAGATCAATATCATATTTTCCGAGGAATAAAACCCATATTCAATCCTGACCAGAAATAACCTATTTATTCCATAATACCCTCTAGAATGTTACATTTGGATAATGCAAACGTTATATTAATAAATGCACATTGTTTGAAAAATAAAATAAATAAATAAAATAACCGGGAAACTAAAAAGTAGGTCAATACGCTACAATACGATTTTTTCACGGAGACAATACGATTTTTTCATGTAATACGCTCCAATACGATTTTTTCCCCTGGGACAATACGATTTTTTCATGTAATACGATTCAACACGATTTTAATTCCTTCATATTTCCCTGGGAAAACAGTAGTATTATGGAATAAATATAGGTTATTTCATGCTTGATTTTCAATATGAATTTTATTCCAGGGTAATATGATATTGACCGAGGGAAATATGATATTGACCGAACGGGCGTAGCGAGTGAGTGTCAATATAATATTTACCGAGGTCAATGTCATATTTCCCGTGTAATAAAATTCATATTGAAAATAAAGCATGAAATAACCTTTTTATTCCATAATTTAATTTTTGAGAATTCAAGGAAAAAGAAATATGAAAGAAAATTGAAAACTTTGGGAAAAAATGAAAACTTTTGAAAAAATGAAAAAATGATTCAAAATTGAAATTTTTTTAAATAAATGAAAATCTTTGAAAAATTGACATTTTTTGATAAAAATGAAAATTTCTGAAAAAATGTTTTTTTCTAAAAATTGGAAAAATTGGAAAATCAATTTTTTGGAAAAAATGAAAAAATTGGACAAAATGATTTTTTGGAAAAAACAACTTTTTTTGAAAAAAATAGGGACAATATGATTTTTCGAGTATATATGATTTTTTTACAGGGACAATATGATTTTTCGAGTATATATGATTTTTTTACAGGGACAATATGATTTTTCGAGTATATATGATTTTAAGAGGGATAATATGATTTTATTTCCCAGGGAAAACAGTAGTATTATGGAATAAAATATATTTTCCCTCGGGACCTGCGGCCCTCGGACAGATATATTATATTTGCCTCGGGGTATTCCCAATATTCTGAACCTCATATAGGATAATCTCTATATCTACCTGATGGAGCATAGGGACCGAAGGTAGACGTGCATATCTCACGAGGGATAAATCCCATATCCAAACGGACCGCACATATCTGCTTTATCATATACCAAGTAGTTTTCTAAAAAAAATTATCTTATTTCCTTTTTTGAATTTTTTAAATTTTTTATTCTCTACTCTACTTGTCAAAGGATAATAGACGATAAATATATATATATATATATATAGTTTAGCAGGATATGTACTTCTTTCTGTAACTGGAATACGATTCCAATATACAAGCAACACATACGTATTCCCGGGGAACCATAAATCTTTTGTGTAGGGTGTGGACATTTTTCTTTTCATTTCTCTAAAATCAGATTATTTTCATAAAATCCATACAAAGTTGGTTCTAAGCCTCTATTTTCGTATTCTGCATGTTAAGATATTTATAATGTAAAACCTAAGAGATAAATTCAATGTCTTCAGTTGAGAATAAGTATAAGGTAAATGTGTGAATTCTGCTTGTTGTTGCACTATTTTTATAATAAACAAGGTTCGATACGCAATACTGAATAGACTGCAGTCATAGCTTAGTTGTAAAGAAAACAAAAGAAGTTGGGACGTGGTCATGCTTAATTATGTTTCTTTTATATATCACCGTTTGCATTCGTTGAAATCGGCCTGCATTGATTTCAAGAGGTGGTCGGTGTACAAGGTCATATGTTTGAGTTATTGGTTTAATGATGAATGTGACCCTTGAATGCGTTATGCTTTATGTATGCGTGAAACAAATACTCCAATGGCCTAATCTCAATTTGCCTACAAACAATATAACATTGAAATGATGGTCATCTGCATATTAACTTCCGCACCACACGTCTAACTTCGACACAATTCAGTAAAGTATCCAGTATCGCTATAATCGCTACATGCCAGTGCAACCACAAAATTAATTTGTTGAAAGGAGGTACATTTTACAAAAGCTATTGGGCAGATTAGCTTGGTAGATTGGTTTGTTTTCAAACTACATTAAAAGGTACCTAGCAAATCTATGATTAATATTTAGAGAGGATAGGGATAAAAATGGGAAATAATACCCTTTGTCATAGTGATGGTTTGAAGTGATTCCTTAAATATTACACAATCCCAACAGTCCAAAGTTTAAATATGTACACCATGCTAGGGACAATAACAATAAGCCCATTCCAATTCGAAAGCAATATGATTCAATTAGAATGGAGCAGAAATTGTATTGTATATTTCCAAGATTATTTTATCTAAAGCTTTGAGTCTTGCTCTTGGGCATTTTCATCTGATGATCGCCTTTTCTTTTCTGGTGATACTATTGGAGAATTATTCACATTCTCCATATCTCCAGCAGCTTTACTGTCCACCTTACTGTCCATATTTCCAGTATTTCCAATATTGTCAGTATTATCCTTAACATCTTTCTCTTCCTGACTAAGCATTTCCACGGTCTCTGATCTAGCTAACTCATGTGTCTCCATATCTTGCGGTTTATCCTCATTGTCTTGTGTGTCTGTATTTTGTGTGTCCGTGTCTTGGGACATTGATTCATCAGACATTTCTAAAGTTTGAGCAACAGGTGTTTCCTGGCTATCTTGCTCATTGGGCACATTGTTTTCCTGGGAATTCTTGTCTCGGTTCTGCGATTCTTTGGATTCATCAACCTTTTCAATTTCTGCTTTAGGAACTGGAAACAATATGCACTAATAGACATCAACAATTGGTAAAATAATGTATGCCATTGCCATCTCTTACTTTGAAACATGACTGACATATCTTTTTTATACAATTTTACTTGCACTAGATATTTTTCTTGTACAATTTTTATTCATGCTTTGTGCATGTACCTGTCAACAAAATTAGAAACAATAATATTTCTCTCAGGTTTACATGTAATTTTGTATTATTCTGTCAAAAACATCAACATTTTTAAATATCAAATATTTAATATATTAATTATTACATCTCAATATAGTATATATTTCATGTTCTATTTATTGCTAGGTTAGTATTTAATGAAATACTACACTCTCTAAGGGAGCATGTCAATACTATAGCAGTTTGGTATCATTTTTACCTGGTTTAGAAGCCTTTACTGCCTGATCTGTTGTTTCTTCTGGTTTTCTTGACTCTTCTGTCTCTCCCTCATTTACAGCCTGGGGATCACCACCTATAATAAGAGTCTCAAGATGATGACGTTTTTCCTATATCAGTTTTAAGGTGGTGGGTGTACTTGAAGTCTTTTATGCAAGCAAGCAAATATTCATTCTAGAATGAATAACAGATTTTAGATGTCAAATGAAAATTCAATAAAATCAATCAAATAACAATTTTAAACCTAATCCTCAAATATTCTCACTCATTTTATATTTCAGCAAGAGCCAATGAACTTGCACAAAATATTCTATTTCTCTGGTGTCATTGATGAAAAACATTTTAATTTTCAAATGGACAATTGGTCACAATACGCTCAACCATGTATTTATGATTTTTCTCATTTCAAAGTGGGTGGAATGAGTTTTCTGGTATGTGAAGCCTATTTTCAAAATCCCCCATAACCCATAAAAAAGAATCATTAGATAGAAGAAAATAGCTTTAAAATACTTTTTATATGAAACTTCTAGCTTCTACTCTCCCATCCCCCCCCCCCCCCACTGAAAACCCAAATTTGTTTTGGTGATTGCACCCCCACTGACTGAAAGCTGGCTACGCCCATGTGCTCACTGCAATGTACATGAGTACTGTACCTGGATCTGTCACTGGATGTTCCCTCTCAGCCACTGGGAAGTAGATCTGCATCAGCCGTTCATAGATCGCAACATCTTTGTTGAGGAACAGGCAGAATATCACCCTATCCACCTATAAGTAAAATTCACATCGTGAATACATGTACATGTAGAAATTTACATCATGAGTACATGTACATGTACACATTTACATCACAAGTTTTACACCTAACATTTTAGGAGAGTTAATAATAACATTCATGTATTTTGTCCATGATTGTTGTTTTCAGAAATCAGTATATAGTACAACAGTGTTCTCCCCATACTAAGCTGTTGAAATCACTGAGGCACAGAACCTCCATCTTTTTCACAATTCCAAAGTGCTCCTAAAAATAACTCTGGGGAGAGCACTGATAAATGTAGTGCACTCAGATATTGATAATATGCCTTATTGTGCTTACTTTTTCCCCATGCTCCTCAAGAAACTTGCGAACTTTACTAATAGCAATCTCAGCTGCATTGAGGTTGGGATAACCTGGAACAAATTAAAGTAAATATTAAGTTTTGCTCATTCTTTGGGAATTTTATTAATTAAATACTCAGTCCATTTCATATACAAGGTATTCTCAAGGACACTGGCACATAAGCAAGGAACTCACCAAAGACATCAGATTCTGTAGATATGCAAGGCTCAGTACTCGCCAAAAATATCTGTAGATATGCAAGGTACTCACCAAAGACCCTTGAAGATATGCAAGGTACTCACCACAGACACTTGTAGGTATGCAAGGTACTCACCATAGACACCTGTAGATATGCAAGGTAATGCAAGAGAGGCAATGTTTTGACCATTCTCTGATTCCTTCATAAATGCCAGGCAATTGTCATAGCAGGCCTTGAGTTCATTGGGTTTCTCCCCTATTGGACCTACTGTATGTACAACATCTGAAAGTAAATTATACTCTAGTTAAGAGTAGAGTAAATGCAACTAGCCAGACCTTGAACTTTTGGGGTGCATGAATTCCACATGTTTGGGGTGCATAAATTCCACATGTTTGGGGTGCATGAATTTCACATGTTTGGGGTGCATGAATTCCACATGTTTCACATGTGTTTGGAGTGAAGTGTATGACCACAAATTTGGAGGGCATAGATTCCAGGCATACATGTATTTGGTGTGCGTGCTTTGATTCCACATTTTTGAAGTGCAGGGAATCCGAATGTTTGGAGTGCAAGTTAAGTTGAGCTTTGAAGCCCTGCATTTGATGATGTATGAATGACTGAGATGCACTTACATTTAGCAGGAAGATTGTAGCCAGATGTGAGCTTGGCATCTCCTGTATCACAACCATTTAGTTCTTTACACTCCTTATAGAGCCAGCTGCCCGCTGCAGCATGTATGGCACCATCAACTGTAGGTAAACAATGTGTTATAGAGCATACTAAATAGAATATTTCTCCTCAATGCATATATGAGATATTAAGATGCGAATTATTTGAGATTTACAAAGCAGAAATGTGTAATCTATATAATTTCATATAAACGCATAAGTTCTATGATTTTTTAAAACTTTTGGGAATTTCAAAATGAAGAGAGACAATGCTATGCTAGTCAGCTTAATTGCTTGTTCAGCCTTACTTTTAAAGTCAACAAGTCCCCAAACGAAACCATTTTAATTAATATCGATGAAATGGTAATTTTTTTATTGAAGAGTCAGCTTTCATCAAAATATTGTAAAAACACAAAAACAATGGTATAAGATGCATAAAAATCCGTATAGTTCTATCACCTCCTCCTCCACCGAGTAGTGAGCTATTAGCAGCATTGGCGATGCAATCAATCTCTAGTTGCGTGATGTCACCCTGCCAGATGGATACCTTATCATTCAAGGCACTGCTAACCTCACTCTTGGGACCTAAAGTTAAAGAGAAAATTGTAACTGATCCACATATATTTTAATTATTTATTACACAAGCAAATCCTAAAGAACAAAAATGTTTTTTAAAAATCCTAAACGTTCTAATTCTATTTCTAATGTAGGATCCACGGCCCTGTTTCACACAAAGAATTGTAACCACATCATGGTTGGAAAGTATTAACTTTGTACAGAAAAACTCTCATAATCATCTGCCATTGACTAAGTCCAAAAAATTAATTTGAAAAATCAACTTTTTGACCTTTCAAAGGTCAACAAAAGGTCACATCTCGAATCTAAGGTCAGATATGAATTTTAAAAGAAAATTGGTCAATGTGAAGCAAGTAGTCGATTAGACTCGATTTGTAGTCTCGAAACTTAGATAGCACAGTTATGACCTAGTTTGATGACATTGACCTTGAAAATTTTACTTTTCAAAGCCAGTAGGTCTTTTGTAATTAAGCTGACCTAAATTTGCATCCAAAAAATCAAATTGAAAAATCAACTTTTTTAACCTTTCAAAGATCACTCAAGGTCAAATTTGGTCAAATTGGAGCAAGTTGAAAATGACCTACTCTGTGAGCCAAAAAGCAGGGTTTAATTGTACAAATTGCAAGTATAAAATCTGCTACCTAATTTCAACATTTGGTACTGTTTAGACCCTATTTCAAAATTTTGAATATTTTTTTATGCTAAATTAGCAATTTGAAATCTGGTTGTGTCCATAGAACTATAGGACAGTGGACTTGACTATATCCTTTATTGGGATAAAATTTGGCTTTTATACTCACAATCAAAGAAAGTAACAAGGCATTAACTTGCAAAATGTCACCACCCGCCATTTGTTACAGACATTGCTCAACACCAAACAGCATTTGGCCACCAAACTTCCAAACAACAACTGCCTAACATCAACCACCAAATGCCATCCACAAATCAGTTGGTGACTATAACAATATGTCACCACTTGTGGTGGCGACATAAAAATGAGAGTCAAAGCTAGTGCAACACTATTTATTCAATGAATATAATTGTGATAAAACTGCTTGTTCAACCATTGCAATGATTACTGTTCCAATCCAAAGGTTTTGTTAAATGCACAAATTGTACCTTTGTTTGTTTTCTCTGTAATGTTCTTGTGAAAGTACTCATTCCATGTTGGAACATCTTTTAGTACTTTATAGTGTTCCCGGCAGCGATAATGCTTCCTCTTTTCCTCGATTGGCATTTTGGCAATTCTTTCTGAAATTAATTCATATAATTTTCAGTTACATAGTAATTAGTGCAAGTTTCCTTTTCTAAAGATGCAAAACAATACATGAACTTTGAAACTTTAGTCTAAAGCACTGATCCATATCCTTCTATTCCATGGTCTTTCTAGAATATGATCAGATAAGGGAGATGTGGTAATTAATGGTCCTTTTGAAAGGTTTCATATAATTTACAATCCACATCGCAAGAAAGTTTATGAAAACATCAATGTATTTTCGATCAATCTTACATACAGGTGTGTTATATAATATATATAGATCAAGTCATTGTGTTTATTTAAAATAAATTAAATTGTGACATGAAACGGGCTGACTTTGATATTAGGCCATATTATACGGTACCTTGTTCTGCTAAAACCTGTGGGCTAGGGCCAGAGTATGTTGCAGCAGCACGATGACCTCTAAGTTTATCCCATATTGTTGTCAATACTCCTGCCATGATGACTGGACTGTGGGCAAATCTTGAGTCCTTATGTTTACTAGAACCAGGATGAAATCGAAAATAAAATTTCTTAGAAAAATGACAGCTTTGATCAAAGTCTACTTTCAAAAGAGTCCCCCTTCCAAAATTGCTCGAATGGCTACTACAGAATCTCTCTATCCTAGTGATCCTGGAAATTCGTAAAATATATGATGTCATGCGTAAATAAGGACCTAAACATCAGATAATATTAGACATATGAAACCAAGAACTGAAACGGAAACCAATTTCATTCCATGACAAGTTTTTTAAGAGAAATATGTTTTATACATGATATAAAGTCTTTTTGGAGTAAAGCAAATATAATTATTATTTTAATATTCAAAAGTAATCAATGTATATGAATGATATGCACATAGATGGCATTGATAAACTAATATATAAACTTATATTTGTAGTAATAATGTTTGTCATGGTAATGGAGCCACTTCCGGGTTGATTTTGTAAATATTTATATCCCAAGACAAGCCAAGTTACAGAGGAAGTCGTCATATATATATGTAAATATGAATTCTAACAATTATTTTGTAGTTCCATGAATAAATCAAGCTCATAAACTGGAAACCTCATCATTTGCCTGAGCCCTAGCCAGACAATGAATTTATCATCATCATCATGTTTAGGAGGGTAAGGTTAGTCCTGTCTTGTCCTCCCTTCTGGTTTTATTATTTACCACCCTGGGTATAGTCTGTCACGTGACTTCATGGATGACGTGTGCGCGAGTGATTCGCATTTTCTTTCGCTTGAGGTTTGTAATCACACTTTTTACATGTTTTAAGATTTTGTATCTCTGTGAAACTTGTCCCGTACCATCAATGTCTGAAGACGATCTAATTCACCAAATATCTCATCCAAGCGTGTCCCGGTTAAAGAGAAATTCGCACTTTTGTGTCTCGCAAAATGACGTGTGCGCGAGTAAATCGAATTTTACGAAGGATGGGTGCGCGAGTCTAACATATTTATATTCATTTTAAACAATTCTGCAAGCTAGACACAATTCAATTCAATTTAATCCTTAATAATACAATAATACATGGTACATATAAAAGAATTAACAGGTGACATCATTTCTGATGTTTATACCCGTACATGTAAAAGCATAATATTACAGATATTAAGAGTAAAAGTAAGGTCAAGGAATCAAACATATCAAGGTTGTGTTTTGTCTAAGGGAAAATCGAAGAGGGAGGGGGAGGTGCATCATAGATAAAAAGCTATCAAGTTTAGTGTCCAGTACCCAGGCTTGGAGTTATATCTGTATATATTTCTATAAAGGAGATAGAGCATGAATAAGGAGGCTGCAGTACATAAATATAAAAAGAAGAAGATCATGCATACAACGCCAGAATATGTTTCTTATATTTAGACTTAAGACATTTACTTGACCTTGATGTTTTTATTTCTGATGGGAGGCTATTCCAAATAGATGGTCCAGAAAATGAAAGCATCTTTCTGCCAAAGGTTTCTGTTTTAAATTTAGGCAAGGCATAGTTATATTTACCTCTTGTATCATACTTATGTAGTTCATTATGTATTGTAAATAAGTTGGGAAATATATCATGTAGGTTATTTTCATTGTTTTGCCACTTAAAGAAGAATTCTGCCACATTGGCTTTAAATATATCAGAAATGGTGAGAATTCCTAATTCTTTAAATAATGGTGGAGTGTGATCTCTAAATCCACTCTGAGTAGCTAATCTTGCAAATTTCTTTTGTATTAAGTGAAGCGAATTAATTGAAGTGATATTAGCATTTCCCCAAATGATATTGCTGTAAGTTAAATAAGAATGGATTAGAGAATGATATATAGTCATAAAGGTTTTCCTATCTAGTAAATGGTTAATCTTGTACAGAATGCCAACTATCCTTGATATTTTCATTTTGACTTTACTAATATGTTCATTCCATGAAAGATGTTGGTCAATAACCAAACCAAGAAAATTAGTGTGTGTTACTCGTTCAATAATTTTACCATCAATAAATATCTCTAAGTTCCTGGTATTTACCTTTTTCTGCTTTGAAGTAAATAATATGTACTTAGTTTTATTAATATTGAGTGACAGTTTATTGGCTATAAGCCAATCTCTGATACTATTTAATTCAGTATTCAAAGTATCTTTAATTTCATTAAGGTTTTTCCCACTGATTAAAATATTTGTATCATCAGCAAACAGAACAAAGAGAAGTGCTGGAGAGGTCAAGTAGATATCATTGATATAGAGTATAAAAAATAAGGGCCCTAAGACAGATCCCTGTGGAACACCACATTTGATAGTTTTGAAAGATGAAATTTTATCATTATATTTAGTACACTGGTTGCGATTTGTTAAATAACTAGAGACCCACCTTAGAGCAGGTCCCCTAAAACCGTAAAATTCCAATTTCTGTAACAGTATGCTATGATCAATGGTATCAAATGCTTTTGAAAAATCTAGAAAAAGCCCAATGCTGAATTCATTGCTGTCAACAGATTTCTTAATTTTTTCTACAAATTGTAAAATTGCCATGTAAGTAGATCTTTTCTCTCTAAATCCAAACTGATTCAAATACAAAATTCCAAATCTAATAATAAAATTACTCATCCTTACATACATAAGTTTCTCAAGGATCTTTGAAAAGACAGGTAGAACTGATATAGGACGATAATTGGTAAATAGATTAAGTTCATCTTTTTTATGAATAGGGGTAACTATAGCAGTTTTTAGTTTATCTGGGAAAACACCCTGTAAGAGTGAGCTATTGAATATGTGTAGGAGAGGTTTTAGAAAATTATTGCTGCATTGTTTAATAATATTACGTTTTAAGTCATCTGCCCCAGCAGCTGAATCTTTTAGATTCAATTTTTGGTTCAAATTTTAATTCACCTGCAATGCCGGACAGCCCTACAAGCTATTTCAAAACATTTATTGTCATTAAACGTAGACATGTATGTGCCATACATGAAACATCTACAAAATAGCAAACTATTCTTTAATATACTACTTTAAGATGACAAAAACAAATGTCACGTGAGTTGTATTCTGCCTTAGCTTGGAGAATTGTCTCAAGTGAATAAAAATATTTTAGACTCGCGCACCCATCCTTCGTAAAATTCGATTTACTCGCGCACACGTCATTTTGCGAGACACAAAAGTGCGAATTTCTCTTTAACCGGGACACGCTTGGATGAGATATTTGGTGAATTAGATCGTCTTCAGACATTGATGGTACGGGACAAGTTTCACAGAGATACAAAATCTTAAAACATGTAAAAAGTGTGATTACAAACCTCAAGCGAAAGAAAATGCGAATCACTCGCGCACACGTCATCCATGAAGTCACGTGACAGACTATACCCAGGGTGTTTACATGGATTCTTATCATTTGGCTTTGGCATTTGTTTGACTTAGGGGACGGGTCAATATTTCAATGTCCTTCCCCCCCCCCCTCCTAGACTATATCCTATTTAGTCTGAATTATATTCAGACTATAAGGCACCTATGTTAAAGTTTGGTAATTACAAATATTTGTTTACATAGGAAGTGCTATTCAAAATGGCCGATTGGGTAAAATTAATTTGCACATTTGTTACTTCAACTAGCTTTATTTCCACTAGACAATACGCTGTGTTACTTTTTATTGCATTTAATTGTACCTTACTATTTAATTGAAATTTTGTAATGTTTATTTTATTGAAAAAATGTTTCCTCCAATTGATAATTTTGTGCAAAAAATTTCACTGAAATTTCCACAGGAAAGTAGTACATCATAACAGACTGACTTCTAGTCAGTCTGTTGGATACATACTACCCCCCCTCCCCTTCTAACGAAAGTCAAAATGTTGATTTGCGCGCAGTGTACACAATGATGATTTCTTGCACTGTGCAAGTACAACCCCAGCATACAATACAGGAGCGTAACCAGCTTTCAGTCCGGGGATGTGATCTCCAAAAAATTTTCGGTTCTCAGTCAGGGGGGTGCAATTGTGGCATAAATCGCCCTAGACTATATCCTCTAGTCTGAAATTTTTTTGAAATTTGGAATGAAAATATTCAGACTATAGCCCACCTATGTTAAAATTTGGGGTTGAAAATTATTTGTTTACATAGGAAGTGCCATTCAAAATGGCCGATTGGGTAGATTAATTTCCATTGTTACTTCCCCTAGCTTTATTTCCATTTGACAATATGCTGTGTTACTTTTTATAGCATTTATTTGTACCTTACTACTTAATTGAATTGTTATAATGCTTATTTTTTGGAAGTGAAGTTTCCTAAAATTGATAATAACGCAGATGCGAGTAGGCAGTTACCAGATTCACCACCAGGTGGCTCGTTCGGGTCAGATAGCATTGCGGGTATAGAAGAAAGTTCCCTTTAACTTAAATCACATCTGTTTTAATGGTTCAATTTTCATATAACACTTATGTATCTAATAGTTATGCAAATTGAAATATGTCCAGTAAAAGAAAATGTTATCTATCCAATACAAGAAAAGATATTTCACTTTTTGTGATTTTGTATCATGGGATCTATGGGGAATCAACCCGAACAAGAAGTCACATTTTCAAAAAAAATTAAATTTTCAAAGTTGATAAACAATTTTCGAAACCATATTTCTAAATGTACTTTTACATGCAGATTTCAAATATGACATCACTTTGACTGAACTTTGAATATTTAATGACGTAAATCAAGATTATTTCTACTCGCACCAAGTCTATTGTGTGCAGGAAATTTCCTGTTTTTTCCCACAGGAGGGACATAATGATCAATAGACTGAATTCTCAGGAAATTCAGTCTATTGGATATAGACTATAAATCGCCCCCATCGCACACCCCCTGGCTACACCTATGCAATATCTGCAAACAACACATACAAATTCTCTTTACTATTGAGTATATTTAAAGATCATTGCAAAAGACGAAATCCCGGGAAACTGAAAATCGATGTCCGTCACCTAATTAAATAGCATTTAACCCCCTCCCCCTAAAATAATTAACTACGTTTTTTACGGACATTGATGTTTTGACCCCACCCCTTAGCTTCCTTAAATTACCTTCTTCTACACTCTTTAAAGGCCCCCTGTGCTTAATTTAGAAGGAAAAACATAAAATAATCATTGAAACATGTTATTTACATACTCAATCAAATATGATACAAAGCTTGATTTGCATTAATATTTAACCGAGAAAAAATAACTTATGCAGAAAACAGCATTTAAAGTTCAGAGATCCTTAGTAGTACATACACATTTTTAAAAAAGTGCATTTTTTAAAATAACTCTTAATTTAAAAGATGGCAAGACTTCTATAGAAATGAATGAATCATGTACTACAAACAACTTCGCCATCTTTCATTGACATTGGTAAAAACTTGATATATAAAAACTTAGACAGATCAAAAACATTGTTTAATAATTTATTGTAAGCTTTGATGTGGCCCATTTGAGCTGTTTTTGATGTCTAATGAAAGATAAAGTACTTATCAATCCATTGGAAATACTATGAAGTTCAAAAGTAAGTCTCTATATTGTCAAAAATGTTGAAAATATGCATAGCGAGGCTTTAAGTAGGATAAACCTCTGAACTCACCAAGTCAACCAGAAGTTAATATTCCCAGAAGGACATTTTTCGATAGGGTAAATGGTCCTTCCTTATAACAGCATGTTCCTAATTATCGCACGATTGTCCTATATAGCTAAAGTATCCCGCTACCTCTTTAAGATAGTACCAACACTCCCAATCTTAATAATATCTCCATATATTTACAAAAATCACTTCATTTTTTTTAGATTATTTACTTCTGCTATTGTCATAAATGCGAATGCATCTTTTATAATGATGAAAGCTTGTTTTAACATTGGTTTGATATGCATTATTCATTTAAGGTCAAGATGTCAGAAAGGCCATTGAGAAAACGTAAGACTCCCAAAAGATTTGAAGAACTTGAATTAAATAAAAAGTCATCCAAGCGAAAGGTAACGGGACAGGATATCGTTCATAACCACAACAAAAAAGCTGATGATATTCAAGGTAAGGTATACTTTTAAACTAATATTCACTGATGTATGTATGGGTGTTTCGGTCTTTTTTTAATCTGAATGGGTGATTGTACTGGTATATACTTATATGTACCTGTAATAGTTATGCATTTTTAAGTAGTAGATGAGGAGGGAAGTATTGTCACTCCTCTTGTCAGTGGATCATAAAAAACGTTGCTTTTAATTTATGTTTTAATATGATATGTGGCGTCACAATAGCTAGAACAATTGATTTTCCGTCTATATTGGAGTATGTATGACTGCTAAAATTCATAAATGCAAAAAGTTGTGTTTCTTTATCATATTAGAATTGTAACAAAGACCTGGATTTAATGATTTATGTCAAATATATGACCTCAAATTTTATTCTGGCCATTGCCAAAGACCTCAATTGTTACACGATTTCAGTCTTTTAACAATGAACAGAATAACATTTTTGGTCATATATCACAACATAAATCATAAAAGCTCCGTCTTTATTCCTTAATTACGATAGTCTGTTTATGATATATTTAATCTTGATAGATATATGTATATAAGAAAATACATGTTTACATTTATTGTTACTGCTTGCAGCTGACCAGTCAAAAAAAATCAATGAGACAAATAATGTAGGAGATACAGTGGAAAAATCCCCTGATGATGAATCTGCCACTGAAGCATTCAGTAAGACTCCAGGTAGACAATATTTGGTGCACTTCTCAGTTATATTTCCAGAAGAGGACTGATCAAAAGTTCACATTAAGAATGCTCTTAAAGTATAAATATTCTTTGGAATTCATCATGTTTTTTAAATATCTGGAAAGCAAATTTTTTTATTTCCAATACAAATGAGAAAAAATGCAGCCTTTGCCTACTCCAGAATTTTCAACAACCATCTCATGCGCATCATCGGGCATCAATGACATTGATTGTAGCGCTACATCTTAATTTACACTTTATGTACTGATTCTAAAATCCTGTTATACACAAGTAACAGAAACAAAGAAGTAAGTGTATTTATCAGAATATCTGGACTACCCCCTGTATAAATATTTGAAGACTAAAATCCTGAATCCATGCACATGTCCACTAGGTACAAGAATGCTGCCATGCTCCCAGTGTGAGGCCAGGTTTTCAACAGGAGGTGAGCTGCGGGTACACAGTTGGAAGAAACATAGGCTGAAGTGCAAGATATGTGGGATGTTGTTTGTAAGGGAGGCTGCCTTGAAACTTCATATGGGAGACCATGAAGGTAGGTTTTTATGTGATACAGTGCATTAAGATAGATTGAGTATCAATGAGGAAATGAAACTGAAACTTGATTAAGCATTGAAAGTTTAGCCCACAGAGCTTTCATTGACATTTATAGGTCATTATGACTGCAAGGAAGATTGGCTCTCACAGTTCCAACTCAATATTCGACCTTGACCTTGATTATTGACAACATTGAAATGTTGTTAGTTTCTGACGTTATAACTATCAGTGATCCAAAAGATTTTAAGTAGGCCTAATATCTTGATCACTTCTTGGGTGTTTTGAATTGTTTTGTTCTGAAATAAGACCAAAACTCACAATATTTTTTGATTTTGAAATCAAAACATAAATATGTGATAATAAGGTCAAGGTCATGACACCATATATGGCAGAATATTGAGATGGAACCCTGGGAGCCGTCCCCCCTTGCCATGACTGTGTACCTGAAGGTTTACTAGTATGTTTAAGTGTTCTATGGACTACATCACTCTCATCCCAAATAGATAACATCAGTGGTTTTGAAAAAGATTTGATGGGGACATCTACTCTTTCAAAATTATTGCCAAATAACTTTAAAATCAAAAGATTATCATTAACTTCAGTCAGAAATGTTGAACTTTAAAAAAATTAGAATGACATGTGAGCAAAAATATTTCAAATTGAAATTGATAAAATTATTTTAAAAAAAAAAAAAATATCAACATTGTTCCGTTCAATGTTTTCTTAATTGTGTACACATAGTGATATATCCATTGCAGAGATTGATCCGTATGAAGTGAAGGTAAATGGTCACAAGCGTTACAAGTGTGACATGTGTTCAGTGCACTGTGGGCGAAAGAGAGAGCTGCTCAAACACATGCAGAAACAACATGAAATAGGTAAACACATTAACTATGTCATATTTTACTCTACTTTACTCAATTTTACTGGCATGTACTCAATTGTATTGGATTTACATTTACTGTTCTGTTCCCTTTTGTGTACATTTCCTTGGTATAGTGGATATTATAGCCTTGCCCAAGTCGGTATTTTTTACTTATCTGATCTTAAATTATTACCGGCGGTCATAATAGAAATCAAGATAAGTAAAAGAGACCGACTTGGGCAAGGCTATGGATATTACAATTCTGTATATTATTGGTATTCATGTGTGTATTGTATTTTACCTAGCTGTTTGTTATATCGGTGTGTTTGATAATGTGGTTTAAAGATTTAAGCCTTGGACTCCGTGCATTGCATGCTGAATATTTCCATTGAAGTTGTTGTTTTCAAATCTTAGGAAACAACGCCTGAGTGGAATGAAGCAGCCACAATGCACTGAGTCTTGGGCTTAAATTCTTTTTACACATTTCAAAATATTTTCTACAAAATCACCTAAAAGATACAAAATCCCTAAAAGAACATATTTTCAATGAAACTTTTTGCAAGGGTCAAGTTTGCAAATCATCTATTTCAATCCCCTCACCTTGACAACTATACAACAAATACATATTGGTTATACGTAATGCAGTTACTTGAAATAGAGTGTTCTGATTGGCTGGAATTGGACACACCTTGCCTAGCTATGTGTGAAACATTGATAACACACCTATTCACATTACTTGCAGGAAAACCATCCACGGCACTGACGAAGAATAAACAAAATGGTGATGACCCTGGAGCATGTGACAGTCCCAATGAAACAACTGCCAATCCTGATGGAACAGCTGCTAATCCTGATGGAACAACTGCCAATCCTAATGGAACAGCTGCCAGTTCTACTGGAGAGAATATGAAGTGTATGGACTGCCTAGCTGTTTTCAACACATCTATTAGCCCTAAGATACATGTGTGCCCAGCTCTCAACAAGACACACACATGTGACAACTGCAATAAAGTTTACTCTAGTCTAGGGGCACTCACGTTCCACCAGGCCTCTCACTTAGGTGAGTATTTTGTTTCTTGTTTTTTTTAATCTGTGTATTCCATGTGATTAAATTTATTACGTGGTCTTCCTCATTTGAGCAGGAGAGAAGCCATCAGTCAAATGGCAGTCACCAGATTCAGTTCAAATTTAAACTGTTGTCTTATGGATATGAGACATTTGCTGGAGAATTTTTCTCATAAAGACTGCTCAATTAAAAATTGCTGCCATTTTTTAAATGGCTTCTGAATTCAAACTAGCTCTCATTTGAAAATCTTACTTTTTGTTTGCAACTTAAATAATGTCTCATGGATTTATAGATATGCATATTCAGGCTTTATAAGTGGAGTACCATCGCATCAATTAAAGAACTATTATATGTTTCAGATAAGAATCCATTTGTAGTTGAGAATGATGGCTCCCCTACTCTGTATCAATGTGACAGGTGCCCAAAACGCTACAAGAATGATCATTCCCTCGTAACCCACTTGAACCAACACAATAATGGTGACAAATACAAATGTTCCCATTGCGAGAAATTCTGCAAAACCAGACAAGGATTTGAGTACCACATACGACGGGAACATTCTGGAGAAAAACCTCACAAATGTAAACACTGCCATCTATGTTTTATCTCATACTCTAGTCTACAGAATCACATGGACAAACAACACACAGATCCTAAAGATTTCAAGCACAAATGTGAGATATGTACTAGTGTATTCCCAAGGGCTTACAAACTAAAGACACATATCAACGAGTGCCATAATGATGAAAAACCATTCTCCTGTCCCCAGTGTAGTAAAAAATTTGCTCGCCAGGTAGGTGTAAAACTCTGTATGGACTCCCATAACAGGCCATATGTATGTTCGGAGTGCCAATCCTCATTTACACAGAAATGCCACCTAAAAGAGCACATCAATAGCAAACATAGCAGTGAGAGAAGATACGCTTGCGAGACCTGTATGAAATGTTTCCCAACTATGAAATCAGTGAAGCAGCACATCACTGATTGTCACTCTGATAAACGCTACATCTGTGAGATATGTCACCAGGATTATAAATATAGGTCCAGTTTCCATAGGCATATGAAAACCCACAAAAATACTGATCTGACAAAGGATATTGATGAGGAACAAAATTATATGATAATGTGCCAAATCTGTGAGAAAGTTTTCGAGGATTATACCACATATGATGAACATTTTGAGAAAACACATAAAATGAATCAATCAAATCAACAAGACAATGTGAGTAGTTTAAAAGATAAAGTTATGATTATTGAGGATTCTAATTCCATAGTTGCTATCGATGACATTCAAGAAAGTGCCATTATTGATGGTGGTACTATTGAATGTGATACCATTGAAAATAGTGCAGATGATGGTATCAATATTGAAACTGAAACGATTGTTCAGGAAAACATCCATGTTCTTAATGAATCAGGCAACAATGTTATTCAGTTGGATTTCAAACCTGGTCACGTCAGTATTGATAGACTTGTTAAGATTAATGACACGGAGTATCAGGTAGAGATCGTAAAAGATCCATCAGCCCCAAATGTTGATGAATCAAGTGAGGCCAATGACACTGTACTACATGTAGAGATATCTGAAAATGGATCATTGGTTATCAGTGGGAATGATACCTCAGAAAGAGAAGTTTTAACATAATAGAGTATCAAAATTTCAGATATAATCAAAGTAAGGCATTACTACTGGTATGTTATCCCTCTTAATAAATGCCCATGGGTGTTATTTTGAAGGTACTTTGGAGGCAATGGGTGTGATAATGAAGGGTGTGCAAGACAAATTCTAACAAATAAAATCATTATTTATTATTTATATACATAAATATTGTATTTTATTTCCATAGTTTAATAACATATTGGAAGATTACTGATTTAAATAAACTATATTAAACTGAGTGAAATAATGTTTGTTTTGCGATTCTTGACAACTGATGTTTTATATTTAGCCCACTTAATTGTAACCTACATCACAAATCCACTGTATGGATTTCTTGGTAACTGTACATCAAGAGAAAAATATAACTTTAAAATCATAAACAGTTCAGTTCACTGTAACGTTGTTTCAAATTCTTGCTAACTGTATATACACAAAAATAACTTTAAAATGATGCAGTTTTGTGGCAAGTTAAGCATGTCATACCCAAAGACATCCAATCAAATTTGTTTCCTTGAACCCAGGATTGTGTTATGAAGATCAACATGCTACTTACCAAGGAAATCCCTTATATGAATTATAACTACAAATCAAATGTCTTTTACAGTTCCTGCTTGGAATTACAAACCAAAAACTCCTGGTCAAAGCTTATTTTTCAAGAATTTTGGGATTATTCTTTCATTTTGACATTACATTTTTATGATTATTAAAAGAAAACAAGACATTAACATGTAAAATGTCACCACCTGCCTTTTGTTACAGACGTCGACCGCCAAACACCATCAACAAAAAAGTTGGAGACTATAACAATATATCACCACTCGTGATGGTGACATAAAAAACTGTTTAACCGATACAATCATACACGTACCTCCAAGTAATGAATATTATAGCCCACCAGACCAGACTATTGACACCTCACACATCTGAGCCATAGTCAGCACAATCTATCCTGTTAATTTTTATTCAGAAATACTCTGTAATACTTTTGGGCTGGCTATGATCTGCCCAATATAACTGTAAGAACACTGCTCTATGAAGGCATATTATGATGCACCTTCATCACTGTAACTTAACCAGGAGCCCATTAACAGAACCATCTTAAAGTTAAGAATTCGTAAAGTCCATTGTTCTCTAACTGTGACATCATCATAACTATGGTTACAACAATTGATTTACGATTTCGTAACTTTACGAAGTTTCAGTTAATGATCCCCCTGAACAATATACGTAACAGTTTTTCTGAGCAAAATGGATGCAACATATATTTATATACTGTTGTTTGAAATTATTATATTTACTGATGATATACTGTACGTGTATATGAAGGAACAGTATTTGAAACACAATGTCTTTGCGACTTTCATATGATGGTAGGTCACAGCTTGGTTGTTGCCACATTAATACTAACATCTATAGATGGTAGCATTGAACTCTGTTATATTTTCATTCTATACTGTTAGTATTAATGTGGCAACAACCAAGCTGTGACCTACCATCATATGAAAGTCGCAAAGACATTGTGTTTCAAATACTGTTCCTTCATATACACGTACTTCAAGCAAAAACCTGTGCTTGGAGTAACTGATTATTCAAATAAAGATGGCTTAAATGAACTTCAAATTGAATAAGACATCATTATCATTACTCGTGTTATTAACTATGGAGGTTAACCATTGTTCCCTAAACATTCTCAGTTATTATCTCAGTTCCTCTTCTGTCTCTTCTGTGACTTATTAATAAACAATTCTTCAATATTAGTATGTACAATTCATAATCTATATTACAACTTCAAATCCCTTCATATATTACATTTTAATATAAATGGGTCAATTCATGTCATGTTATATACTTTTTGACAATTATGTACATGTACAACATGAAGTTATGTACATGACATATAGGCTACACAAAATATATTGGCGAAAAAATAAAGCAATATTTATAAATACTTAACAAAGACCAGGGACATTCAAAACATTGCACATTTGTATATATTTGCCATAGCAAGTCATGTATATTGTTTGATGTCCATCTTAAAATATGTACATAAATTGTTTCCAATTTTATTTATATGTCCCCATTCTGATACTCATAGCATCTTTCTGTTTCACCTGAAACATGCTCTGATATTATGAGGCATATTCTGTGATCTGAGCCCATCAGATGGGAAGAGTTATAACTGTCAATAAGTGTGATAGTTATCATGTAATCATTTACCTAATGTCAATATATGCCATAATAGGCATTGTATTTAACAGCAGATATTAGCACAGGTACGTGTACACAAGTTTAATGACCCCAATTAAATGAAATATGAGCTGGGATGAAAAATCTCAAAAATCCTCAATTTTGGGCTCTCCTGGATCGCAAAATCAAGCTCATTATATCATGGCATCTCAGGGTTGAGAAGAAATGAGATGTCATGGTATATCATGATGATATGTCCCTGGTTATGGTATAGTTCACAGCAAGTACATGTCTTACAGTATGTTCAGTCTACTGCACAGCCTCAACAAAATCTTGTTATTCAAAACTAGACCAACATACAGTGATACACTCCCCTTCATAAGTTTAACAATGCCACTAACTCCCCAACTGGACAAGATATTACACTCCCCTTGATAAGTTTAGCAATGACATTAACTTCTCAACTGGACCACATTTACAAAGGTGTGTGATAGGCAATTTGAAAAAATTGAATCTTTAATTTCTGACCTGATTTTATTCAAGAAATAATGTAATTCCAAACATCTACAGGATTTTACAAGCTTAGTACAAGTTTCCAAACTTGGAGGGGAGTGTAAGTAAAAGCAGAATATTTATTTTACTTAAGATTTTGCAGCCTGTGCACCAGACTTATGTCATGATAGCCAGCATCACATTTTACTTTGAACCATATATTTACAAACAGGCTAGTACACACAACATGGAGTGATTTTTAGTATCCTAGCTATGTCACATACAACTACTGTATTTACATATGATTTTTATCGTTTTTAGCGCTTTTGTACTCCAAAGAGCGCAAAATCTTGAGTATTAAAAAACCCACTAAAAACAATATAAATCATATGTAAATAGTTCTCTGTAAGCTATATGTAGCTTTATGGTTTTGAATTATCACTTTTGCCCTCAATTAGAATACAGTTGCTACAGAGAGACAATACCCCTGGTTGGTAGCTCAGAGCGCTAGTCACTTTGGAACTTCATGAAACAGCTGGACACTCACTTGAGACTTGGAGTGTTCAGATTTCCATAGTTGATATAAAATCTTAGGACATAAGTTCAAACTTATCATTTTATAGTGATACTTGAATTTGTATTTGACATGATATCATAAACATGTACTAGTATGTCATGCAAAATCATTGGTAATGAACATGTTAACAAAGAGTGTCATTCCTGCATGAAATATCCTTTCTGTTTCACTTAACTTTCTTGTATTTTTAAAGTCAATGAGATTTTAGACACCAAATTGTATTGGTTTACCATGTTTACACAATGATTTCAGCAGGACTCGGGTCATAATATTTGAACTTCTTGACACAGTGGTTGCCCCAATCAATGACAAATACGAAACCATCCTCAGAGATGGCAATCCCCCTGGGCTTATCCAAGGGGTTTCCCAAGCTCTCTATACAGGACTTTAACCCTCCTTCTTTGTGAAACACCTTAATTATATTGTTTTCACAATCCGCCACTAAAATGTGCCCAAACTGATCAACAGCTACACCTGAAGGACGTTTAAATAATGCCTGGTGGCTCCCTCTTTTAGAGGCTAAGAATCGTACAAATTTTCCATCACTATCCAGGATTTGTATCCGCTTGTTTCCTGCGTCGGACACAATAATTGAGTCATCCTCCATCACACTGATGAATGTTGGTTGGTAGAATTTTCCTGGTTCTGCGCCTTTGCCACCAATCGTTTTCAAAACACGACCTTCTTTGGAAAACACAAATAATTTATGCTCTTCAAAGTCACTGACTATGATGTGTTGGCGGCTGTTGATTGCAAGCGCATAAGGGACTTTCATCTCCTTGTCGACAAACTGGCTGATGAGTTTACCATCAGGGGTGTAAGCCTGGATGGTGTCAGCTAAAGTGGCTATACGAGAGTCGCCCTTCATCACCTGGACTATATTACAGAATATCTCCCCCTGTTGATTGAGGGTGGCACATGTTGTGGTGTGACACTCATTTCCTGTATCCTCTCCCACCCTGAAACCATCTTTGAACCCACCATCAGGTGTGAACCTCTGGATACGACAATTGCCATAATCTGTTACATAAACATCACCATCTGGCGCTACAGTGATGGAGGTGGGCCTGTTGAGGTCACCTGGTTCACTTCCCAGTTTGCCAAATGCCATGACAGGGTCGTTACTGTCAACTGAGACTAGAACTTCGGCTCCCTCTATCACCTTGCCATGAAACCTTGTCAGTACACGATGATCCCCACTCATCTTTGGCACAAATGTCACTTCATATTTTCCATCACCAAGCCCTTTGGTCTCAGCAAGAAGGGTAACATCTGCGGGGCTCCTTATATCCACAGCAAGTGGGCACTGATCAGTGTCTATAGCTTCTCCACTGTAGCTTCGAACAGTCAATTTAATTGTGAGAGGAAAACCAGCTGTACCAGGTGGAGAAACAACTTTAATATTTGATGGTAGTTTCTTGTCAACAGTAATTTTGCCAAGAGTTTTGGCAATGTTGTCAAATACTTCATTTGAATGTTTTACATCAAATTCAATATAATTGTCCATATTTTCCGGATCTTCAGTTTTACTACAATTCTCTATGTTCATCAAGTTCTCCATTTTACTGGCAATTGTGAATATTTTATCAAACCGTCCACTCTGTATGGCATCGCGACATTCTTCATTGGCCTCCTGGAGCTGTTCTGTCCTGTGTTTAACCTTCTGATGGTGGTCTTGGATCAGTCCTGCACGCCTCTCATATGTAGTATTCACATCACTTGATAATTGTTGGCACCTCTTGTTTAACACACTGATGTATCCCTCAAATGTCTTTTTAATATTATGCATTGCAATGTCTCGTGCTATTTCTAGATTTGATAGCTCTGTTCCAAGATTCCTAGATTGCAATTCCTTTGATGCAATACCATTCTCAGCCTTTGTGATACGAGACTCAAGGATATGTCTATGGGTCCTCGTTGCCTCTTTGATATCTTGTATCTCATGTCCATCTTCTGATTTATGATTCAACACAACACAATCTCTACATATCTGGTGTTGGCAAGTTTTACAAAAGAATGAATACAGTTGGTTGTTATGGTAACGACATCCATCACTTCCAGTTTTAGCCTCGAGAATTTGTAAAACATAAAAGTTCGCTTGGAGAGATTTGATGCCTGTTTCGGGTATAACGACAGTGCCTCGACACGTGGGGCATTTGAAAAATTTGTCTCTATGATACATGGCCTCTAGGCAAGTGCTGCAGAATGAGTGGTGGCATCCAGGTAGAAACTTGGCCTGGTATTCATCCTGGTCGTATGGGTTGAGACATATGGAGCAGGCCATGAATGGAATGGCAAGCTCCTCACCTGGGGAGTCAGAGTCAGCCATCTTGATTCACAGTCACAATGTCAGCCTGCAATCACACAACAGTAGAAAACATAAGTACTCTTTTATATTATATGGGCTCTGTGTGCTAATTATAGAGAATACAATACTTTTAAAATATAACAAATTTACAACTAGAACTTTGTAAATAACATAAACATCATCATGAAGAGGCTTCTGTTGTAGGCCTCTGATTTAGTAATTACATGTATGACATTATACGTCTCATCTTGCAAGCTTCTTCACTGTGAAATAATTTTTAGTCACCATTTTTTCTTAAATAATGAACAAGCTACTTGATTTATAACCCAACAAAACCCTTCTTCTATCTATTCTGTATCTTAAATCAACTGCCTCTCTCAATGAAGTATTATCTTACTCCTTGATAATACCCAATCAACATTCAAACACTGATTTGAGAACCCCTCAGGGAATACTAATACATATGGTAAAGAAGATACTAGAACGAAATTAATGAAGCTTCTACAAAATTAACCCTGTCCTTATTTCCTTCACTGATTTTCCAATCTGGTGAAAACATTCCCGATTCAACAACTTGCTTAATTCAATATTCTCCTAATCAATAGACAGCCTTACAGTCAGTTTCTTATTAAGTTCAGTTGTTTTGTGATGAAATTATGTGTAATCTTATTGAACGTTTTTTTCTATGTACAATGATTTGTCGCTTTCACTTTATATTTATGGGTTATGAAGAAAGTTCAATATTCACCCTTGGTATACGCAGCTAACGAAAATTGACCGGTACGGGTCAAAAGCTGGACCGATACGGGTTAACGGTTTTATTTGAATTTAAAACAGCCATAACTTGCTCAATATTGACTTCCTCGTGTCTAATTTGAGATATATGATGCCTCTCGATGCTTTTAAGTACCCCAATTTTTTACAGATTTTTAAACGGACCAAAACTCTTTAAATGCGCATTTATGCTCTTTTCTCTCGAGAACGACTGTCTCATTTTCACGATAACTTTTATTTAGTACTTCTAACATATAAGATCTATTTTTCCCCATCAAGGTATGATGTAAATGACATGCTATTTACATCTTGTGAGTTTCAATGACGCGCGTTTAATTTTTTAAAAAATGCCAAACTTTGTGACAAAGAATTTCATCAGATATTGCCCCGAACCGGTCCGTCTTCTCGTTGCAAGCAGGATGAAATTCTTTGTCACAAAGTTTGGCATTTTTTATAAAATCAAACGCGCGTCATTGAAACTCACAAGATGTAAATAGCATGTCATTTACATCATACCTTGATGGGGAAAAATAGATCTTATATGTTAGAAGTACTAAATAAAAGTTATCGTGAAAATGACGAGAGAAAAGAGCATAAATGCGCATTTAGAGAGTTTTGGTCCGTTTAAAAATCTGTAAAAAATTGGGGTACTTAAAGCATCGGGAGGCATCATATATTTCAAATTAGACACGAGGAAGTCAATATTGAGCAAATTATGGCTATTTTAAATTCAAATAAAACCGTTAACCCGTACCGGTCCAGCTTTTGACCCGTACCGGTCAATTTTTGTTAGCTGCGTATACCAAGGGTGAATATTGAACTTTCTTCATAACCCATGAATATAAAGTGAAAGCGACAAATCATTGTACATAGAAAAAAACGTTCAATAAGATTACACATAAAATATAAATGAAGGACCCATGGTCATGTGCTCACACAGTTTGGAACCTTCAGAGGAATGTATATCCTGACTTTCAAAAAATATTGATTTGGATTTGTAGTCTCGAACTTTGAGAAACTTAGATAGCACAGTTGTGTGACCTAGTTTGATGACCTTTGACCTTGAAAATTTTACTTAGAGCTCAGTAAGGTCTATTGTGATTAAGCTGACCAAAATTTACATCCAAAAATCAATTTTAAAAATCAACTTTTTTGACCTTTCAAAGGTCACTGAAGGTCAACTAAAGGTCAAATCATAAAACTAATGTCAGATTTGAACTCCTGGCAACTTGTAGATGATTTTCAAAAAAAGATTTGGTCAAAATGAAGCAAGTTGAAAAATAACTTATTTTTACTTTTTTTTGACGTCAAATATCTCAAAAACGGTAAAAATTTGATGCTGACATATATTGAGCAATATGTAGGGAATGCTTTAATCTAGTAATGATGTAATTCATTGCAAGAAATGATCAAGTATAAGGCAAACTTTGAGAAACTTGTCAATCACAAAACCTGCCATTGACTTTATACATGAGAAAGTTTCCTGAAAATGAAAAAAGTCCTACTTTTTGTCAAATTTTATAGAGTAAACACCAAAAACTGTAATTCCAAGAGCTTTGAAATCTTCAGAGGACATAAGTTGCATGTACATCAACTACTAAAAGTTATTTGAAAGTTCTACTTCAACAAAGTGTCTAGTATTTACAGAAAATTTGACTTTTTGACGTCAAAATCCGCAATTTCTCGGAAACCGGGCGAACTTGATAAATGGCGATGATAGGTCAAATAGGCATTATGGATATGCATAAAATGAATGTGGCTATGAGTCAATCCGAATAGCAGTTTTAATTTGTGCGGCCAATGTTGACGGACGGACGGACCAACGGACGGACGCCTTGTCGATCCCATAGGCTCACTGTGTGAGCCAAAAACAGACACCAGTTGCTGGTAAAAAAAACACACACACATTGTTGAGACTACTACTGAAAGTACAACTGATTCAAACTTTTAAAAGATCAAAAGTACTTAGAATTGATTTTGACAGCTGGTTTATTGAGTATCATGTATGTAAAGGTAACAAAATCTTAAAAGATTTTTAAAAATAAAGCAAAATATCCCAGGCACCCTGCAGCTGCACAGGAGCACGTTTAATGCTATAACATCAAAAACATCCAAAGTCATGATGCAAGACTATGTTGCCCTTGCACTTTCTGATAATATGTAAACATAGACATGAGAAGTTATCAAGACAACAGTCTAAATTCCAAATAGTGGTATGCTTCTTCACCTTTCCCTAGACTATTTTGAGTCTTGATAAATCATACAGAACCAGATGAGTTGTGTAATTTTCATTTCCAAGCATACATATGTCTATTGATCAACTAAATAGTACATGTACTAGCAAAAGGTACAAAAGAAACTTAACGTCTAATTGTTTGGGAATGAATAGTTCACAAGATGCCAGAATCTACGATATAATTTACAGGACACTTTAACTTAACAACAGGGAGGAATTATTTTGATCATTCTGATATCTGTGCCAAAAAGATTGTGAAAATTCTGCCTACATCTCTTGAAATGAAAAGAATTATGTACATCGCAGTGTTCTCCGTAGAATGTTTTCTCAAGTAGGTGCAAAACTCCCATTTTCACAATTCAGACCAAAATTGATCAAAATATTTCAAGTGGGTGCAAATGGATTTTTAGGTGGATGCAAGCCTGTTTTTAAAATCTTAGTTGGGTGCTATGCCCACTTGCTTAAATGCTGGGAGATCACTGCATCTGAGGTTGTGACAATTTGTTACCAAAATAGATCCATTTAGGTAACCAGTTTAAAAAGTTCGACCACAGTGCATTATAAATATTTCAAATGGAATCTCACAGGTACTGAGACTACTAAGTTAATGAATTTTAGATAAATATCATTTGGTTGTGGTATAATTAGTTGGAATACTCTGTATATATTGCTGTTTATCCAAACGTTGTGTTTATACTCTCTCTTTGAATATGGAATTCCTCTTAAATAAAATCATACAGAGAATCTAGCCAAATGATAACCAATATTACATCATATAATTAAAGCTCATGGCTTAGTCATGCTTTCCAGACCTATAAATCAAGAGGATCCTTCCTGCATCATAATATAGCGCTTCTAGCTATCATACATTTATCTGAGCAGATTGCAAGATGACCTGGTACATAGAAGGCAATTAGTTACATATCAACAAGGCTAACCCCACTGATTCCATGTACAATGTATAATTATAACAAGAGTGGTGCTTTTGAGATGTTTTTATGGTTGATGGTGATGTAATCTATTTTAGAAATGCCTCTTTTGTATCTCTAGTTACATATTTTTCCATAGCATTACAGCTAGACAATACATGGCCCCTTGAGACATTAAAGTGCTCCTTCCAGGAATACCTTATTTTGTATTCAACTTATCTTTTTATAGTTAATGGTCGGATGTATTGTGAAAACTTATTGAAATAAATTATTGATATTGTCACCACTCTGAAATATTACAGTTCTATTCATTCCAGTTGAAAGAGACAAATAGATTCATAACATTGTAATACTCAATTATCATTGTCAAATCATAAAAGTAGTACAGTGTATTGTAATAATTTGAACTGGGAAAGTAATCATAAGCACAATACATAACATGGTTCCCAAGACCAATATCAACAATAAATTTTGTAAAACTTCACAAAAAATCAATGAAATATGGTACACAGTATTATATTTAAAAGTACTAAGTATAGGCATAAGTATATACAATATGTAAAAATCCCATAATAAGCATGTTTGTACTTATTTAATATCCTATAACTGAACATTCGTTTTAGCCTGATTACCTGGTTCTTTTACCTTTACAGGAAATTCTGATACAGACAACTAATCCGTAATTTTATAAAGGTACATTTATTTATTCTGTTTATCTTTAAAATAATGCAATTCTGTCACTTGAATGGTATGCAAAAATGCAAAATAAATTTACAATAACATAATATAATCAGTATATCTTGCATCTTGGTTACAGAAAGTAAAGTTAATGTTCAAGTAACATGATGTTTAGTCCATATGGTGTTTTCCTAGTTCTAACTTCAAATCCCTCCAGAATCTAGCTTGCTGTCGCTCATTATCACTCCATTTAAAGCATGTATTATGCTTCATAATCATTCTCAACTTTTCAGACATTTCAGCTTTGGGAATATGCTCCATCAGAAGTACAATGATCATGTCCCTGTGATCGTCTACCATTTTAAGAAGAGCCATGTCTACTTCTAACTGATTCATGGCAGCAGCCACCCAACCTCGACTTGCGACAAAGAGAATATTTCTACTCGTGTGGATGGCCTGGCCCATGGAAGTAAAAATTGATTCTCCAAGATTCATCCTGTTATCGAACATGAGATTAAACTTGATGTCTTCTCCATCCTCCAACTGGGTGCAGAGGTCTCGTTCAATCCACAGTTGTTTTTCACTATGGTAGCTTACAAAAGCATCATGCTCTATAGGCACATCTTGTATTGGTGAATAGCCAATGTGTTTCCGAGCTTTGTAAACCATTTTCTTATATAATATATCTTTCCAGAAATGTTTGAGTAATACAACTGTTATTGTGGCACAAAATAAAATGGAACCAATTGTTACAAGACTAGTAATCATAATAAAACCACTGTTGCACTCAATCCAGGGTATAGTAAAGTTATGAACAAACTCATGCTTTCTTGCTAAAGGTTTAAAACACATTTCTCCTTGGTAGTTCACAAGGATTTTTCTTCTTTTACTTTTCTCTGTTTGGCTCAACCAATCTCTAAATGGTCTCAAGTCACAATTACAATCAAAGGCATTTTCTCTGAGATATAATCTGCTCAATGCTGTCATCTGCTCAACATTACTAGCATCGATGAATATGATAGCATTTTGAGATATGTCTAGGTGTTTCAAACTATACAAATCTTTGAATAAATCCTTCTGAATGCTTACAAGTCTGTTTTTCTTCAGGAGCAGAATACGGAGTTTGTACAGTCCCCTGAATGTACACAGTGGTAGTTTGGATATATAGTTATCAGTCAAACTGAGTGATGTCAGATTGCTCCTACCACTTACTAACTGACATAACTCCTCTTCAGGGTATTGGAAGAGAAGATTCCCAGAAAAGTCAACTGATTTGAGATCACTGGAAGTATCTAGTAGTCTAATCACTTGTCCTCTATATCCATCGAAGTTACTATTCGCGTAAATAAGTCTCAAAAGTCTCAGAGTTGTTAAATTGCCAATTTCTAGGTTTACTGGTTGGAGACTAAACATGTTCAATCGTAACTGAGTCAAATATTGGAGTTTATTCAAATCAAGAGTCATTTTTAGTAATAGTGATGATGCTTGCATTCCCCCAAGCTTTAAAAACTTCAATTTTGTCAATATATTAAATGCATCTTCTGCTACATACATAAAGTTTGAAATGGAAAGTACAGTTAAAGAAGATTTGACTGGCTCAAAAGCATCTTTTGATATTGTCCGTATTGTGTTTCCATGCATTTGTAATCTATCTAACCCTGACATGATAAGTGCTTCATAAAATGACTTATCTAATGTCTCTATCACAATGCCGCATGCCACTACAGACAGACTGTTTACACGTTTATTTTCCAAATCATGCAATATGTTTTGAACGTTGTCTCTTCCGAGGTTATAATTCTTGTTAAAAGACAGAAAACTCCAACTTCTGGCATGGCTGAATGTTCCAGGAACAATATTGGTAATATTATTCATCCCAAGGTCCAAACCAACATTGTCCATGTTTTGAAAACTTTTAAATGTGTCAACTTCTATCGCAAAAACACTACAATTGGAAATGAATAATCTTCTCAAGTTTGAAAAATCACGAAATGTTTCATTTTTCAGGAGGCCAAAAGTGAAACCACTTAGTGACAGTAGTGAAATGTTGTTTGGGAGAGTTTCTAGCAGTTGATGTAGGGTCCACGGTTGTGTCACATTAGCAGGTGCAATGCAGACACAGTCAGTATTACCACATTGGCAGAAATCAGGTATATTCTTCTCTACTGAAGCATTTGTTTTACTGATGGCATCATGGTTTATGATCTCATCTTCAATCTCTAGTGGCATCTGATAGCTTGTAGTATGGAGGATATCATCATCATATACATCTCTTACACTGGCCTCTGTTGTCTCCAAAGTTGACAGTGTGGCAGTTGTAATAAGTAAGATCATCACCAACTTCATCTGGAATAAGAGTATGAATATCTAAGCAAATATAAAAGAAACGGAACATCAAAGAGCATAATCTATGATAAGGAAATAACACATCATATCACAATTTGATTGATTTTATTAACATTATACAGATCTTCTATAGATTGTTTGTTAGACATTCGATTTCAAATAACTGCACTAAGATAAAATAAGACCAAAAGAGGATAAACCTGGTACATGTACTTATCTTGTTTATTGCTTGAATTTCTGTGACTTCAATGAATCACCATATTGTTATTTTATGTAAAATAAGTGGCTAGTGTATCACAAAACAACTAAGGATTCATAAATATTATATACAGAGTGTAAGAGCCTACCTTGTATTCCATTATAATCCTCTTGAACATATATTGAATGCTCTGGATCATTCTTCAACTTCTCAGATATAGGAAGAGGTCATTGTGAAAGAGAAAGTCTAAGGTTCGAACCTTTAATAAACTTTGGAACTTCCTTGTTGCAAACATATCGCATTTCCAGAGATGACAACTAATTGTTCTGATTGCCAGCAATCTTGGTCTAGATAATTTCTCTTAAAATTAATTTCATAGATAAAATAAATGTAGTTATGAATATTTGTGTGATATTTTAGTTTATATACATGTAATGACATAGTGGTAATCATCACAATGTTACCTACATTAATTTTACACAAATCTTAAGAGTACTGTCACTTATATACAGCGTTCACAAAAACATTTTAAAATACATAAAAATGTTTTATAATGGTGGTTTATTATTTTTTCATAATTAGAGGTTAGCAAACAGTGAGTGTAAATTGTTGTACATCAATTTCAAAAAGATTTTGATTTAAATAAAAAATGTGTTAGGAATGCATTTTCATTTGTACTATAAATCAGCAAAACTGTTCAGTAAGATAAGCTGACATAAGAAATATAAGCAGAGAACTTCCACAAAAAACCTATATCTCCTCTTTCTAATAAAGCATAAATGTTGCTATTCAGGTTAAGATGACTCAACTACATCTTATAATAATTCTTATGATGAACATGTCAACAAATAAAACAAGGCATTCACATGCACACACCTATGGCCAATTGCCAACCACCGATCACCGACCGCCACCACAAAAAAAAAGGAGACCATATCAATATAAAAAAAAGCAATAAAAGAAAAAATATTTTCGTCAATGAACCACCTGTCATATCAAAATTTATAAAATAATATTTGTAAATATATAAAATATATACACGGGTAGTATCTAAAGCCCCGCCATGATTTAGAAATCGCGAGCAAGTTCCCGCTGAAATCACGAGCAAAGTCCTTTTTATTTGTGTCACCTGGAAATATGGCCAAAAATGGTAAGAATACGCATGACTGTTCTTTGAAACTTGAGGTATACTTTCAGAACAGGTATATCTTAACAAACAATGACATTGGCGATAAATATGTTTATCGGCATGGAAGAAACTGGCGCAAATATGCACGTTTACATAATTTACTGTAACAAAATTACTTTTGTCGTTAAAATTGAGACAAGAACTACGATATGCATTCCTCATAATGAATATTGGATCAACATTGTATGTTTTGAAAAGTTAGTTTACAATAACATCTCCTGTGGGGGGTGAAATACACCATTGGAGGTGTTCCAGTGGCCCCGCTGAAATTATGAGGAAGCCCCGCTGAAAACATGAGGAGGTCCCGCTGAAATCAGGAGCAGATTTCACGAGTACCCGCTTCGATCACGAGGAAAGCTTCATTACATTCCATTAAATATTGAGGTTCTTCAAATAAACGTACACGAAAGACCAAGCAAAGTATTCCTAGTAATTATATATACTGTTTCATTCTAGGGACACGTTTCAAATGTTTTTATTGCAACTTCAAGTCATCAGAGCAGAACGATTTCGTCAAACATTTTATACAGTTTCACCCATCATTGGATTTCAAAATAAACGAAACCAAAATATATAGGAGAAAGATGGATATATCGTGTATTAGACTTCAACATAAATTCAAGACAATTCATGAAGTTCAGGGGAATGAGCCTTTTATTAAACAGAGAGACCCCAAGTTCCAAGAAGAGGAAATTTTGAGAGAAATGAGAACCACAAAGGCTCCATGATAATTCAGAAGACGTTGTAGGTTCTAATTTTATAATTTAACAATAACATTAAAGTTTTTGTTTTTTAAATATTTATTTCAAGAATGATTTATACACCATCAATGTAAAAAAATACGTTATTACAATACTTCAAAAAATGTGAGATGTCAGGAAGATTTCGATGGTCATTTGATGTTTCTCCAAGTTACTAATGTCGTATCTAAGTATTCCATACCTGGCTACTGAGGTTTTGTAGGCACATAACGAGCCGATATACAATCAATATACCATGCGTATCAAAAAACGCAACAGATTGTTATCTCGGAAAAGCGCAAATCAGTGATAACAGCATTGATTTCATTCAATGTACCATACATTAAAGCCTCATACTGCACCGTTTTTCTTCAAAATTATTCCATTCAAAGTAAAACAAAATTGCCTTTCTGTCGGTGCATTGCTTTATTGTAAAGAGTCCCTCGTTTTAGCAGCGTTTTGGTCCCCAGCTGTGAAATGCCGCAGAAAGTAGGCACTCTGTATAACAGAAAAATGTACCAACAGAAAGGCATTTTTGTTATGCTTTGAATGGAACAAGTTTGAAGAAAAACTGTGCAGTATGGGACTCACAATTCTTGATTTTCAAAGATTTGATAGGTCAAAAATTCAAATTAACGGTCGAAGTTAGTACCGCGTGATAGACAGCAAAGTGTTCATACTCATACTCTTGCAAGAATACATCCTATTCCCCTCCAAATTGCCACCACCTTTTGCACATAAAGATGCGCTCATCTCTCCATGTCATGCATGGTTCAGCCCTGAGTCATCTGTGGGTTAAAGCGAAGAATAAGCCCATTGGCAATTCTTTCTCGAAGTTTTGCAATATCTGGTGGAAGAATGATTAGCACAGATGCTCCTGAGATAGCTCCAAAAGAAAAATTCACAACAATTCAAGTCAGGAGAACTTCCATTGGTACTTAGCCCTTGCACTGATTTTTGCAATATCTTAAACTTGGTCCAGAGCCGATTTTGACCCACTGTGCAAATGAAGGATTTCTCACCTAACCATGACCACATGTGAATGAATGACATATCATTGCAAAGAGGAGGACGTGGCTTTATGGTACATTGGATGGAATTTATGGAGTCACCTCTAGTTTTGTGATTTTACGAGATAACTGCTTGTTGCGTTTTTTATTCGTCCTGTATAGTGTATGTGGGGAGTTATCGCTAAAGTACGAGACCGGGATGGATATGGGCTGTATCCACTCCGGTACCACTCCTGAAAATCGAACTCAATAAATACGTTTTACTCAATTTACGAAATAAAGATTTTTTTAAACTTTACTTATGCTGTATATTTGAAATTTTAATATCAATTTATTGATCTGCTCCGGCAATATATGAGTGTAAAATCAAACTTAAAAACTACTTCTTGAGAAAATCCGTACTTTGGTATGTGTTTGAATTTTGGAAGTTAATTATCAATATGTTTATGTTTATGCTATAGAATACATCTGTTTTATCCCATACTTGGACGTGTTACGGGTACATAAAGCCGGTTTGTATATTTACATCATCATTACTTATATTTTCATCAGCGGGCAAATATAGCTTTACGTCCCTCTCCGAGCGGGCAGACTTAGTGACGTGTCGCAAAAAGGTCGCGCACGCATTGTTACACATTTTCGCTTTTTAACACCACAGAATGTGACGTTTTTTTGAGAAAAATGTACACATATGGAAATCCTTTCGTCCTCCACATTTCCCTCTATAAGTCAAAACATTTAAGGCGAATAACTCTGATATCGTATATGTATTAACAATGCAATGGGATAGGAGTATCATAAAACACGAATCAATTGATATTTTAGGTGAAATGAATAAACGTGTTGCTGTGCTTGAAAATAGGCGAATGGCGTAAATTAGCCCTATTTTAATGAATCTTGAAAACCTTTCGTCCTCCACTTTTCCACATACAACAGAAAACACATAGTTTTGCGAACAAAATCAACTATTTATTAATGAACTAGAGTTTAAGAGCAAAATAATCATTTATTATTTATTAAAAATTGATCTCGTAGAAAATTGAAGGTAACAAAAAATGAGCAAAAAAGGTCGCTGTCAACAGATTCTATTTTTCAAACTCTATGACGTCACAATATGGGACGCTTACTAAAATTCATCCTTTGAAATAAAACTTCCATCTACCTTCATCAAGACGAAAAATAAGTATAATAGTCATATATTGTTTGAGTTATGAGCGTTTAAAGACGAAACTGATATATGCAACTTATTTCAGTTTATATGGGCGTACCGGAGAGTATATCAGGACTTATATTAAAGTGTTCCGTTTTTAGGAATATGGGAGAAACTATTCTCGCCCATATTTTAGGTGAAATTCAAACTATATGGGGGATATTCTAAAAAATAGTTTGCTGTAGTACAAACTATATTTGGCTTTTTTCACAGTGTATATTGTTTGAGTTATGAGCTTTTAAAGACGAAAAATAATTCAAAATGTAACATGTCAACAGGGGATATTTGCCAGATGTTTTGGTAAAAAACTTTTTTTTAAAAAGAACTCGCAAGAATCGTGAACGGAGTGTAGTTGATCTAAAAACTTCATCAAAACAGCTTTGAAATGATATATATCTTTAATTAGAATATTATCTTATAATCCGGGGAATCAAAGTTACATTCACGCGATACCCTTAAAAACAAATGCGCCACCTTTTTGCGACTCATCAGTACATCTGCCCGCTACGTCATAATCGCTGTTCCCGTATTGGTTCTTTTTTGTAACGTTCGCATACTGTGAACAACAATGGAGAAAAACGCAGACAATCGCGATCTCTTTGATGCTTTAAAGAAGGGAAGGAGCAGTATGCCCTGTTAATAATCAAAGATTTGAACAGGAAAATCCGGCTACGGACAAGAATACAAAACTGGACATGAATATTTTAGAATAATTCCATGGTTGGTTGCAAAGCTTTGGCCAATTGAACAATGTGATTGGTATGGGATAAACAGATCATCCTATAGTCGGTTCAGGATATTGGGATTATTCCTTGGCCAATATAATATATCTACCCTTGGGACCTACGACCCTCGGGCAGATATAATATATAGGCCTTGGGATAATCCCAATATCCTGAACCGACTATAGGATAATATCTATATGTACGATCGGTTTTGGATACAGGGTTTATCCTAAACCTCCCATTACATAACCCTTACAAAATTAGGATTGAAATATTTCCATGCTCTTATATGAAATCCTATTTCTTTTTACTTTTTATTTCTGTACTATCATATAAATATAGGAATGTTTTGAAATGTCTATGAAAGT